TCTTATTAATGTGTTGTTGTTACTTATAAATAAACATGTCTGGGATACTCTAGCTGAAGAGGTTGTTGAATTTGACTTGTTGCTCTTCATTTAGGTAAGCGAGAGGCAAAAGATGATGATTTGGAGACCAAACCGATTCTGAAGAAACATAAGGAGGACAAATCCGAGGTAAGCTAAGATGGTCGGATTCCTCTTGTTTTTATTTATTTATAGAATTACACTCTGTTCCAATGGCCACACTCATGTAACAGGAGATCAAAGGAAGGGTCGAGTTGTTGGAGACAAATTCTGATCAGGCTCCGGTAAAATATTGTACTGTTTTTTGCATATATTGTACAAGTTTATGTTCAATTAAGCATCTCGTTCTTATTGTCTCCAAAATGTAACAGGAGACAGTGGAAGGACTTGATGAAACTCCCGATTCTGTTGAGGTACCTATTCAGTATGTATATGTCTGGTCTTTTGATTCGTTGCTTACACACTTGGCTGTTAAATTCAGGGAAGAAAAAAGACGCTCTATGTTTGCTGTCTCCCTCGCTACACTAAAATACCAGATATGTAAGTAGCACCTTTAGTTTCCTCTTTCCTTCTTGTAGCAAGGTTTTCATGACTAATATTTTATCCTCCAGCATCGATTTCTTCAAAGATGTTGGACAAGTTGTTAGTGTTCAACTTACTATAAAACGCAACGGTAGGCATTTGTCCACTGGCTTCGTTGAGTTTGCTTCTGCTAACGAAGCAAAGAAGGTGAGACTAGTTTATAGTTTAATGATAGAAATGTATTTTACTAGTCATTTGAAAAGTACCCTATGCTTATGATGCAAATTGTTATTCGAAAATACCTTTGCTAATTAAATCTTTTAATTATACTGTAGGCGCTGGATAAGAAGAATGGTGAATATTTGTGTGGTAATAAGCTTATTCTTGGCATGGCTGCGAAAATATCTCCACAACCCAAGTAAATTGATTTTCCCTGTTATAGTGATTTTGTTTCTGTAACACTGGTTGCTTAGGGTTTTTTTATGCCATTACAGAATACTAATACTATTACTTCTTGTTAATTAGGTATTGCATATATCACAAGGTTTGGTAAGGGATTCAACTATTTGCCTCTTGAGCACATTAGGTGAAGTTTTTTGGTATACATGGAGATCACAGGGTTTTTTTATATAGCAGGTACGAAGACTACATTCAACAAGAAAGCCGTCCGATTGAAGAAGAGGAGACACCTCCCTATTCTGTTCAGGTACCCCTGTTCTTATTATCTTCAATATCTGTCTGGTGGATGAGTCTACTTTTTTTCTTGTTATTCAATTTAAGCCCTTTCCTCCTTAAAAGAGTCGCGCTAACACACTTGGCTGTTCCATTCAGGCAGTTGCTGTAAGAAAAAAGACGCTCTTTGTTGCCAATCTCTCTCCCCAAACTAAAATATTACATATGTAAGTAGCACCTTTAATTTTTGCTTTCGTTCTCGGAGCAAGTTTTCCATGACTGATATTTTATCCTTCCACTTTTACAGAGTCGATTTCTTCAATGATGTTGGAGAAGTTGTTAGTGTTCGACTTATTGTAAACCCCGAGAGTAAGCATGTGGGCTATGGCTTTGTTGAGTTTGCTTCTCCTTGCTTAGCAAACATGGTGAGACTAGTTTTGTAGTAATGATTTAAAAATTATCAAAGTCATTTGAAAAGTAGTGTATACTTATGATGAAAAACATTCAACAGTCATTTGAAAAGTAGTGTATACTTATGATGAAAAACATTCAGCAGTTATTTGAAAGTAGGGTGGCTGATTAAATCTTACACACTGTATGTAGGCGCTGGAGATGAAGAATGGTGAATATTTGCACGATCATAAGATTTTTCTTGGTGTGGCTAAGACAGCTCCGTACCCTCCACGACACAAGTAAATTGATTTTCCATGTTATGGACATTCGTTTCTGTAACACTGCTTGTAACTTATTGCTAGAGTTTTGATGCCATTACCGAAGACTAACGCTATTATTTTTTGTTGATTAGGTACAACCTTGCAGAGAAGCTTTGGTAAGTTTTTTTTTCACTATTTGCCTTTTGAGTTTTGTTATCAAGAGCGCATTGGGTGAAGTTTTTGGTATACATGGAGAGATCACAAGGGTTTTTGATATTCCAGGTACGAAGACTACCTTCTACGAGATAGCCTTCTGATAGTAGAAGATGAGACAGTGGAAGGACTTGATGAAACTCCCAGTTGTGTTGAGGTACTTGTTCTTATTATCTTCAAACTATTTCATTACCCTTCAAAAAAATGACTTTATTCTGAGGATGAATCTTTAGATGAGGCTACTTCTTGTTATGCAATTCAAGTCCTTTTCTCCTTAGACTCGTGCTAACACTCTTGGCTGTTGAATTCAGGCAGTTGCCTTAAGAGAAAAGGTGCTCTTTGTTGCGCATGTCCCTCGCCGAACAAAAATATCACATATGTAAGTAGCACCTTTAATCTCCTCTTTCGTTCTTGGAGCAAGGCTGATATTTTACCCTCCATTTTTACAGCATCGATTTCTTCAAAGATGCTGGACAAGTTGTTCATGTCCGACTTATTGTAGACCAAAAGGGCAAGCCTTTTGGCCATGGCTTTGTTGAGTTTACTTCTGCTGACGAAGCAAAGAAGGTGAGATTAGTTTATAGTAATGATGAAAAGTATTTTACTAGTCATTAGAAATTTAGTGTATACTTATGACGAAAATGATAAAAGTAGTTATTTTGAAAGTTGATTGCGGATTAAATCTTTAATACTGTAGGCGCTGGAAATGAAGAACGGTGAATATTTACACGATCGCAAGATTTATCTTGATGCGGCTAAGACAGCTCCATACCGTCGACGACCCAAGTAAATTGATTTTCCATGTTATGGAGATTTGTTTCCGTAACATTGGTTGTAACTTATTGCTAGAGTTTTTATGCCATTACAGAAGACTAACACGGTTATCTTTGTTAATTAGGTATTGCATAGATCATAAGGTTTGGTAAGGGATTTAACTATTTGCCTCATAAGTTTGTTATCAAGAGCACATTGGGTGAAGTTTTTGGTATACATGGAGAGATCACAAAAGTTTTTGTTATTCTAGGTACGAAGACTACCTTCGACAAGAAAACCTTCTGATAGAAGAAGATGAGGCAGTGGAAGGACTTGATGAGACTCCCGATTCCGATTATGTTGAGGTACCTTATTTTTTTTGTTCTCTTCAAAACATGCTAGGCTCCAAAAGAAATGCTGATACGTGCTTAGAGTTTTAGTGTTTTTGGTGATTTTCCATTAAACTGTTTTGAGGCTTTTCCTTTTATATTAGGTTTTGAGGCTTTAGCAACGGGTCCTTTAACTAGAGCTAAGGCTAAGGCTTTGGATCATAACAAATGCTTAGCGTTTAAATAACAGAACTGTTGCCACAAAGCCCAAAGATGACTTATCATGGGGATGAATCAGTTTTTTGTTAATTTAAATTCTCTTCTCCTTAGAGTCGTACTAACACACTTGGCTGTTAAATTCAGGAAGTTGCCGTAAGAAAAAAGACGCTCTTTATTACCAATCTCTTTTTCAAAACTAAAATACCAGATATGTAAGTAGCACCTTTAATGTCCTCTTTCGTTCTTGGAGCAAGTTTTTCACGACTGATATTTTATCCTCCATTGTTTACAGCATCGATTTCTTCAAAGATGTTGGACAAGTTGTTAGTGTTCGACTTATTGTAGACCACAGTGGTAAGCATGTGTGCTGTGGCTTTGTTGAGTTTGCTTCTGTTAGCGAAGCAAAAAAGGTGAGAGTAGTTTAATGATGGAAAGTATATAAGTAGTCATTTGAAAAGTTGTGATTACTTATGATGTCAAATTTACAAGTAGTTATTTGAAAGCACGATTGCTAATCAAATCTATTATACTATTAGGCGCTGGAAAAGAAGAACCTAGGAAGATTGCGGAATCGTTATGTTGTTCTTGACGAGGCTGAGATAGCTCCATACCCTCTCCGACCAAAGTATATATTTTTCTTGATTTTCCATGTTATGGAGATTTGTTTCTCTAACTTATTGCTAGTGGTTTGATGTCATGACAGAAGATTAACGCTCTTATTATTTCTGTTAATTAGGTACAACGTGGCAGAGAAGCTCTGGTAAGGGATTTAACTATTTGCCTTTTGAGTTTTGTTATCAAGAACACATTGGGTGAAGTTTGTTTTTGGTATACATGGAGAGATCACTAGGTTATTTTATATATATATTCCAGGTACGAAGACGACCTTCAACGAGATAGCCTTCTGATAGAAGAAGACGGTTTGGAGACCAACCCGAATCTGAAGAAACAGACGCGGGAATTTTGCGGTACCAAGATTACCTTCTCTGACGAGGATTGATAGAAGAAGAAGATGAAGCTCTTTGGTGTTTATAACCTGTGACTTTCAACTCTTTAATCTAAAGTCTAAACCACAATCTAAATCCGGTTTAAACGCAGTCACGATTCCATCATTGATGATGTCTTTATATCACACACATAGATTAGGGTATCAAATAGTGTTTTAGGTGAGAAAAGCAGTTGTCAGATTTTGATTTTCAAGAATGCAATCATTTGACTTTTTAATTTGACTTTCTTTTGGTTCTTCTTAGCCACTCTTTCCAATATTCTACACGTGCTCATTACCGTTCCAAAGTCAATAAAAAATCACGAAGCCAACAATAAAATGTGCAACAAATAATATTAAACATGTTAGACAGACGAAAGAGAATTATTCTTTATACGTATTTAACATAATGTGCCTTGTCGGTTACCAAACAAAATAAAATATGGCTTGTTAGTGGTCGGTAATATGTAACATGTTGTGTGTTTGTTGTCCTTGTCAAACCAGCAATGCTGCTTAATTTCTTTAGATAGGAATTAAGTTTAAAGACGACTTCTTCTTTGGGTCAAGTAAGAAAATGTCAAAACCTCTGAAACTTTCTTTATTTTGCATATAAATACATTACTCCATGAATACCTTACAAAGATCTTAATCTCACAAGTCTCACATTTTCTAGGTGAACCAACCAAAACCTAAAATCTTTAATTCCCTCTATAGCTAGTGCTCTTTTCTCTTCTCGACATACAACAAACCGTAAAAACATGAAGAGAGACCGGTCCGATTACGAAGAATCCATGAAGCATATAGACATAGTAGAAAGTCTAATGATGTTATCTCGAAGTTTCGTGGTCAAACAAATCGATGTAAAGCAATCTACCGGAAGCAAAACCAATCATAATAACCACTTCGAATGCAAAACGTGTAACCGGAAATTTGATTCCTTCCAAGCTCTTGGAGGTCATAGAGCTAGCCACAAGAAACCTAAGCTGATCGTTGACCAAGAACAGGTGAAGCATCGTAACAATGAGAATGATATGCATAAGTGTACAATTTGCGATCAAATGTTTGGGACCGGTCAAGCTCTAGGCGGTCACATGAGAAAGCATAGGACGAGCATGATAACCGAGCAATCGGTTATCCCTTCTGTTGTTTATTCCAGACCGGTTTTGAATCGATGCAATAGCAACAAGAAGATCTTGGACTTAAATCTAACTCCATTAGAGAATGATCTTGTGTTAATCTTTGGGAAGAATTTGGTTCCACAAATTGATTTGAAGTTTGTGAATTAGTAGGGTTTTAAACCTTTTTCTGTACTTTTGTTGTTGCATTTTTCTTTCTTGCTACACATTATTTCATTCTTTCCGTCATGTATGTATACACAATTTGTTTAAATAAAAGGTTTCAATTCTTGCAATGAGTGGTAAAATATTAATAGTTGAAACAGAACCATTTTCGAATGTATATAAAGAATCCATTATCATTGGTGTGTGAGTGAGATAAACTGATATTATCATAAGTCATATTCTGATGTCAGAGAATCCATTCCAGAAATATGGAATACGAATTGTGTCCTTCACACTATACCATTAGGGGAAAGAGAGAATTTTAAAGAATACGTAGAAACATCATCTCATATATAGAAGAAAAGCAAAAGAAGATTGATTTCCTTTTTCATTTTTTTCTTTCCAAATACCATGTCTCTGTCACTAGCTGGATTCTCTCCTTTGACGGGTGTTGTGGACCCAATTTTATGTGCCACAACAAGCTGATTTCTGAGTAGCTTGAGACGTCCCTGCACCTTGGTCGGTTTGGTTGATTTTGATCGTTTGCGGCTACAAAAATGATAAGAAATTCGATGACATTAGTAAGGTTGATACACATACTGAAATGTGATTTTTACCACAATTGCAATGTATGAATGATGACAGTGGAAATTAATTTTAAAGCTCAAACAAACCTCAGCTCGTGCATCGGTATCTGCAAGTCTTTGCTTAATGTCTTTAGCAATAGAGAAGAAAACTTCCTCAACGTTTAAGTTAGTCTTGGCACTCTGCAATTAGCAAACTCATCAAAGTTAACCATTTAAAAAGAATTAGACCTTTCCCTATATCTATTGAAATGTAACAAAACATAGACAACAACTTACAGTCTCGAAAAACTTCATTCCATATTCATCTGCAAGAGCTTGGCCCTTAGATTTTGGCACAGCCTGGAAAAACAAAGCAAATCGGTGTATTAGCCAAACAGAAACATAGAATATTTAAGCAGGACGAAGATACGAGGGAGGGTAAAAGAAAGAGACTCTTTTGCTTTCATCCATATCTGCTTTGTTCCCAACTAGAATCTTGTTGACACTATCAGAAGCATGCTGCTCAATGTTACGGATCCAATTCCTGATGTCTAGAATTGAAGAAAACAAAGGAACAAATTAGTTGATTAGAAAATAAGAAAGCTAACAAATGGAAAAATATAAACTTTATAACTGTTGCAAGAGATTGTTGGTTGCATAAGGCCTCAAATAGAACTAATTAAACTGCAAGAGTGCAAGGTAAAAGTAAAGAAAGTAATTACTGTTGAAAGATGATTCATCGGTCACATCATACACAAGCAAAATTCCCATGGCTCCACGGTAGTACGCTGCAATAAGAACAAACTACTCAGGTGTATTCCAGCGAGGAAGGCAAAGATGCATAAATAACAACAAAAAGAGAAAACGAAAAGCAAGATCGAAAACACACCAGTTGTGATTGTGCGGAACCGCTCCTGTCCTGCAGTATCCCAGATTTGCAGCTTAATTCTCTTCCCATCGAGCTCTATAGTCCTTATCTTAAAATCAATCCTGTCCAAAACAAAACAACTTGAGTGAGAACAGAGAACTACATAGAGGATGTGATAACAGAGTCATTGCATGAAGACATCATACCCAATAGTTGTAATGAAACTGGTGGTAAACGAGCCATCTGAGAAACGTAAAAGGAGGCAACTCTTACCAACACCTGGTACATAAAAGAAAGAGATAGAGAAAGCAAAAGTTAGATAAAACAGACGCTTTAGAATAATCCATTGGAACATAGTGAAACACTTACAACATTCAACAAAAGGAATATTCAAACCATTTGGCTAAACCATTTGCGACATTAACATCTAGAGAACATAATGAAACAGTTACAGCATTCATTTTTGTGATTCTCCATCCTAATACCAAACTAGGAAGACTATTGAACATCATATGCTCACAGTTGTGGAAATAAGATTCAAATCTGAGTAAGATGTGTTACTCAAATCACTGATGCATCAGATCCTTGGACCAAAACTTAAATCGAGAGAATCAACGAAAAGGAAGGAGATATAGATTGAATAAAATGCAGGGAAAAAAAGTAGGATTACGATCTGAATGAAGAAAGCCTACCGCTGTCTCCGATCAGCAGAAGTTTAATGAGGTAATCGTAATCAGCACGAGCTCTAGCAGGAGGAGCAGCCATTGTTTCACAAAATCAAGTAATCGCCGATAAACGAATCACTGGTAAGCAAAGAGAGACAGAAACTGAGACAATGGAGACAAAATGTAAATCGAGAATCAATTATGTAGTCCGTAAAAACGAAAGAAGGAAGTACCAGATCTACTCGGGGAAGATAGATCGTCGGAACGGAGCAAGACAGTAACCGGACGGCCGTTGAATTTTTTTTCTTCTCCCGATCGGTTTTTTTCGGAGATTCAGAAGATTTTTTTTTGTTTGAGAGAAGAAGGAGAAGGAGAGGGAATGGATCTGGACCGTTGGATCTTGTTCGTGATGGAGATCTGTGTTTGCCGGCGCGTGGTCTTCGGTTACGGTTTGATTAATACGTCGTCGTTTGATAGATTTCGAACAATGGGCCTTGGGCTTGTTTTTCTTTTTTTGTGTGTGACAATGGCATCCACTATATGTTTAGTTTAATCAGACTGATCCAACCCAGCAGAATTGCGAAATATTTTCATATATGTTTTTTGTTCTTTCTCGAAAAAAAAAAGAAAAAAAACGATTCAGTTTGTCTTATACTCCCTCCGTATTTTAATAATTGTCGTTTTAGAATTTTTATTTTTTTGAATTAGATGTCGTTTTCAAATTTCAATGCAAAATTTCTTACTTTTTAATGTTTTATGATGTCATAAAACATTAAAAAGTAAGAAATTTTGCATAGAAATTTGAAAACGACATCCAATTCAAAAAAATAAAATTTCTAAAACGACAATTATTAAAATACGGAGGGAGTAGTACGATATTTTGATCTCTTTTTAACTTTAGCTTATGCATAAAACCATTAAAAAAAAACTTTTCAGAGCATTTTAACTAGACGTCTTTTGGTTAAGAGGGAGATCAATGAGTTTTGTCCGACGGTCTTGCGTCTGAACTTAACCCATTTGATCCCCAAGCGTGACCGGTGGTGCAAAGTCTAATCTATTTTGATGCCTTAAGAAGTTTTTTTTTTTTTTTTTGGTTGGCTTCAGTAGTTTTATTTGAATGTTCAAGTGTTTGAAGTTTTGCAGACGATAGAAAAGAAACAAATTACATCTATCTATTATTATTGGTCTCGGATCGCAAATAATATGATTAAAGTCACATCAATCGTAGGAGACGAGAAATATATCGATTGTTGCTTTCTCTCACACTAAAAAGCAGGGTACGAATCGTTAAACGTAGACTGTTGACAAGAAAATTCGAAAATTAATATATGTTTATTTCTCTATGCCAATATTTCGTTCCGAGTTGCGTTGCGATTAAGCTCTAAAATAAAAAAAGTTGATTCAATCCCTTCACTTGTAAATAAACTAAAAATATCTGAACCAGTAGGCAGTAGAATCATCCAACTAACTCCAAGGGGACGCAAAGGTTAGGCAAAAAAAAAAAGAGTTAGGCAAAAAGAGAAGCGAATTGACAAATTGGTAAAGAAATTTGAATATAGTGTCGTCGGTGTTAAGCAAGTAATCATCCAAAGAATAAAGCGTGGATAGGAATCTACAATGATCCTACGTAGCATCTAATGTACTGCTGCTACTACTGCATGAGCATTCGTTACTCAACCCCATCCACATCATCCCATGCGGACAAGTCTATATTTCACTTTCTCATGACCAATGAGGTAATGCCACGACGAAAGCATTTTCTGAAATTACACGATCCAATTTCCTTTTCTAAATGGATACGAAGAGTGTTTCCATTGACATTAAAGGAAAGCTAACTTTACTTAAATATCGTCCTTGAGATAACAAAAAAGTTTTAAGTCATATATTCCCAGATTTGTTTTGAATGTATAATAAGTAACTGTGATCGTCTTCTTTAATGTTTTTTAAAACTCTTACACTATTAGTTTCATGTTTATCCAATTTTCATTGGATATCAGTTATCCAAAGTTTGTAGGGAATGACACGACACGACGTAAGCCTTTCCTAAATTATACGATCCAGTTTCCTTTTCTAAATGGATACGAAGAGTGTCTCCATTGACATTAAAGGAAAAAATTAAGTAAAATCATACATTCTCAGATTTGTTCTGATCATATAGATTGCAACAATTACGTGAATGTCATCGTCTCATTTAATGCTTTTAACTCTAATTTACACGATTAGATTCATATTTATCCAAATCTATCCAACTTTTTTGGATATCTCATTAAACTCTTACCATACAGAAGTCAGAAAGATTATCCAAAACCGTTCGATCTTAGTGACTGAAAATGGCATTTATTTGAAAATGCACGTGTATATTAATTATAAAAAATAATCATAAAACGGTGCTTACCGGTGATGGTAAATGGTGACTTGTATCAATGCCGGTATCCGATTATAATATGAGTTCAAATACCACAAATAAAAATTATGAGCTGTAAACAACAAAAAGATTAAATATCTAATACTTTAGCAAAGTATAAATCTAATAATTTAAAATAATAATAAGTGAGTTATTTATTGTGTTTTCAGATAAAAAAAATCTCAAATTCCTAATATCATTTTTTAAATTATATTCCTAATATCACTGTTACCAAAATTACTACTATATTCATAGACAAATCCATGTTTTTTTTTTTTGCGTGAATCCTAATAATGTGTAGAAAATACGATGAACAATACCTAATAATCATTTACATATCTTTGTGTTTGAATTATTATTCATAGAAAGAAAATGAAATCGAATATTCTTTTTTTTTTTTTATGTTGCATAATGAAATCGAATATTCACTTGAGAGATTACATATGCTTTTCTTTTGATTGCAGTTTGTAATCCACCGACATAGAAATTGCGATGTCATAAATCTGAACACGAATTTTCGGTGCACTTGCTAACACCTGATCTCAACTCTCCAGCATATTCTCCCATTAACAGTAGCTAACGGAGACTTAACGTGGACTCCTCGCAATCCGAGTCACGCTAACGTGTATCAGACAGCCAAACCTTACGTTGACCCCACCGCCGTTAGGAATTCCGTCTATGTCTCTTCCTCCATTATCCAATAAAATCTTGCCACATGTACACTTTCGGGTCCGGACATATTCGATTAATTTCCAAAATTAAAGAGATTTTTTTTGGTCATGCTTTTTAATTTATTGTTTTTCCAAAATATTAATTAATATTCTTTCTAAAATAAAAAATGGAGTCTTCAAATAGCACAGAAGCAGAGACAGAGAGCGGGAACGCGTATAGTTACAGCTTTCTTCTCCTTTAGCTTTCCTCTCTACTCTTGCTTCTCTCTCTCCTCTCTTCGCTGCTTCTTGAGATCTGTGCTTGCGTTTCTTCTTCATTCGACGACATTTTAGCTCGGGAGATTTCAGATTTGTCGATTTGCTCAGGTACGGAAATGTTCTTCAATCGGATTTGTTCTTCCTCACAGGGTTTCTAGGGTTTGTATTGGGTGTCTTAATCTGTTTGCATAAGCCATGAGCGAGGGTTTTTTTTTTCCCGAGAGGCCTTTGTGTCCTATAGATCTGAGTTGGGTTCCAAAAGATTCAATTTTGTGATGTCTATCTACATTTCTAGATTCTCAAACTCCATTAAAGGAAAAATCTTTGCTCGTTTCTTTTAAATCAGATTGCTGTTTTGTTTATCTGAAGATGATTTCAAGAGAGTGCCCTGTTATTTTATATTATAAAATTTTGATCTTTTGGTCGCTTTATACATATGTGGGAACGGTTTTGTCGGTGGACACATTTATGGATTCATGAACTGTTGCAAAAAATATGCGTTTCTTTGGACGTTTCTGTAACTTTCTTTTTAAGAGATTTTGTTATCTTGTGTCTATGTGTCCACCATTGCGTTGTATATTCAATTGATTTTCCCAGGTGTTGAAGATTGTTATTTATATATAACTTGTTTTATGCACATAGATCTTTAGTATAATTTATTATCTTCCATGATTTAGGGGAATTAAAACATTTGTAAAGATTGAGCCCATAATTTGTGTTTCGAGAGATGGTGTTCCGGTTTTTGTTGCTTTTAGAGATGCATATATTGTGGTTGTTCTGTTTATGAATTGGTATGTGCATTGTTTTGCAGCAATGGCGCCACCGATTGAGGTTTCTACCAAAAGCTACGTTGAGAAACATGTTCCACTTCCTACTCTTAATGAGAGGATACTTTCGTCCATGAGCCACAGATCAGTTGCTGCACACCCATGGCATGATCTCGAGATAGGTAAAGCTATACGTAATGGTTTCTTTTATTTTTTTTGGGTTCTAAGATGATTTCATTTGTTTGTTAATATTAACTCTATACATTTTTAACTTCTCATTCCTTTGTTTACAGGACCTGAAGCCCCAATTATCTTCAATTGTGTAAGTATTTTGCTAATGTTCTTGATATTTAGGCAGCTTAAGCTCTAAGGATTGAATATGTTTTATTATATTGTCACAAAAACTGCCATTGGGCGTATTTGGAGATGCTGCACTTGTTTACTATTTCTACAGAAATTACATACTTGTAGCATTCACTCAAAGAAAATTCAGACATTCACTGGCTGTTTATCTTGAGACCTGAATTGAGGCTGCTGTAGCATATGAAATGATGTTCATTGCCTGATTAGGAAACCAATTTATTTATGGGTTTACTCTTTGAGATATTTTTTGTGGGAATCATTAACAAAGCATAGGTGGCATTATTACAGGTGGTTGAGATAGGAAAAGGGAGCAAGGTGAAGTATGAACTCGACAAAACTACCGGTCTCATTAAGGTATAAACTTCATTGCAGTAACATTCTTCGCTGTCCCTTTCATTATTAGAGGTACGATTGTCTAAACGTTACACATATTCTCAGGTCGATCGTATTCTTTACTCATCTGTCGTATACCCACACAACTATGGGTTCATTCCGCGTACCCTTTGTGAGGACAGTGACCCTATTGATGTTCTTGTCATTATGCAGGTAACATATTTTTTTTCATACAATTTTGAGAACCTGTATAATTCATTACATAATGTTTCTTGTTCCATTTTGATTTGTGCATCTGATAAGCTTTGAAGAAGTTCAAGCGCTCAACTCTTAGCTATAGACTCTACTATATAACTGTGTAGCCTAAGAATGAGTGTAGCAGATTAGAAATGTTGCCAGTCAGTTAGTGAGTGCTAGGCTTATAAAGGTGTCTCAGCATATTGTTTCGAGTGTGGATTTTCTAGTCTTTAGTTTGGAATTTAAAATCTCTTATTAATCAAGTCTCTCTGGTTTGGTGAAATTGAATAACAAAAGCATATAGACATAGTAAAAAGTCTAATGATGAGAAGATATTTAGTAGAGTCATATGCAAGAGATTAGTTGATTAGACACTAATCCCATGTGAATCATGTTGAATTTGTTCTACAGGAACCGGTGATCCCAGGATGCTTTCTTCGGGCCAAAGCTATTGGTCTGATGCCAATGATTGACCAGGTTAGAATATTAATATCCTTGAATGTATGTGTCATCTTATTTCCTTAGAAAAGCAAAAGAGATTGAAGCTAGATGCTCTTTCTGCTTTAAAAGGGTGAGAAAGACGACAAGATTATTGCTGTCTGCGCTGATGATCCAGAGTATCGCCATTACAACGACATCAGTGAGCTTCCGCCTCATCGTATGGCTGAGATCCGCCGTTTCTTTGAAGACTGTGAGTGTTCTTTCTTCACCTTCTTTCAAACTTTTGTTTGGTTAAGGATGATATGAGCTTAGGGGTAGACATAAACCAAAGCAAGTCCGAATTGAAATGTGTACACCAAAATCGAAAGTGAAGCATAAACCGGCATATATGAGGCTCATGCTCTTGTATTCTTGTTGCAGATAAGAAAAACGAGAACAAGGAAGTAGCCGTTAACGACTTCCTTCCTGCAACTGCAGCCTACGACGCAGTTCAGCATTCCATGTAAGCAGCCTTCATTAAACTGATTGTTATATATCTCATATTCACCTTTTACTTGATGCAAATTTTATCAAAAAATAACTAACTAATCAAACTGGGACAACTCTTTTGTGTCATGTAGGGATCTCTATGCGGACTACGTGGTGGAGAACCTAAGACGTTGATTTACCTCCCAAGCTATGAAATGAAAGCTCTATAAATATACATACATATGTTAGGATTCTCAAAGGATATATTTGTGTATGTCCTCTGATGAATCCGTTAGATGATGCCGATAATTCAAAGACTAAAACAGGGATTTTACCCATTTGTGTTCATCACTTTTTTTAATTTTGGAGTCATTTCTCATCTTGATCAATTTTTTTTGAGTTTTCTTCTTATGTTAAATCTTTTATACATCAAAGAATAGACAAAACAAAAGAGTTACTTCGATATGCTTTTGGGTTTTGGCCAAGATCTTAGCGTCGGTGAAATGAAGATTCCACCCTAAAACCTTATACAATGTCATTGAATCACAATATATTCAATTATTCACTATTTAGACGAGGATTCCACTCTAAAAACCATATGAAAAATACACATACTCTTTTTCTTCTCTCTGTTTTCGTTTCCTTTATGTTTTTTTTCCGATTCCAAGTTGCTTAAATTTTGTTTAGCCAACTAAATCCCATAGTTTCCATTTACAAATTTGTGATCAGATGCTATCAAATAGAATATTACCATTGTAGCCTTCACCTTTTCTGAAATTTACCACGTTTACCTCTATGAACCGTCATCGTAAACCAAAAACCCTTTCCTATCCCTAAAACCCGAGAGAGTATCTTCTTCTCTTCTTAGGGTAGAACAAGGACGAAATCGAAGGAGAAGAAGATCGATTCGTGATCAACGATGAGCTCCTTTAATGGAAACAGCAACATCGACAACATCCTAATCCAAACCCTACTTGGACGTCTCCAAATCCGTCCCCCTAACTCTCATTTCCTCTCTCAATCCCTAGATGACCTCCTCTTCAAATCCGACGACAGCGACGGCGATGATGACGGAGAAGGTCAGACAAGTCTCGACAGAGAAGAAGCTAGGCTTGAGAAAGAGCTAATCCGAGTCATCGTCTCTGGTCGAAGCGATTCTCTTAAGCCGAATTCAGGTCAAGCCGTGACAGTCAACGAACACCACATCTGCGTTGGGTTTCACGAGGATGAGGAATCGGATTATCGTGTTTGGGAGTGGCATGGTCATATCATGTTGTTCGATGAAGAGAATGGGTACACGCCTGAGTATATCTACGGGAATTACTTCGAGAGGTTGCCTGTGAAGCTTCCTAACCGCCGTGTAGAGAAGGAGAAGAAGGAGGTGAAAGAGGAGGAGGTGGAGAATTTGGGGCTTAGAGAGTTGATCGATGGTGGAGACGCTGCTCGTGGTAGGATTCTTCATAGGAACAACATCAATATCGGTTCCTCAAGGTCAATTTCTTATAACTCCTTTTAAACTTTTATCGTTCTGTGTGTTATGTCAGTTCCTGAGAATTCTGTACAAGTCTTAGTATAGTATGATAGATTCCATAGGATGCAATCAATTGTTCGTGACACTGCTGGTTTAGTTTTGGCGAATCGAAGTTTTGGGTTTGATACAGACTACAAGTTTAGTGAGAAATGTAACAGTGGCTCTTGTTTTTGGGATGATTTACTTGTTCATTGATCTAATGTTGGCTAATTAAAGTTTTGGGTCATGTATAGAGTATGTATTCAGTGAGAAATATAACAGTGGCTCATATGTTTTGGATGATTTTTGCTGTTAGCGACCTGCCCTTAATTTTGTTTTTGAAATCTGATTCGCTCATGGTCAAGCCTTTAGTTTGCTTTTACAGTTTCTTTTTCATTCCAAGACAATAGTTGATAAAAAGAATTTGGAAAATGATAGTTTTTGATCATTACCAGTAGTGAATTCAGCACTTGCTGTTTCCTGAATGAATGAAGTTACAGGTTAGGCCAATGTTTGGTTGTGGATAGTGGTCATTGCATTTCTGTCTCAAATAACACATGGTCGTAAATATGATCGATTAATTCTCCTTAATTCATATTATAAGTCTTGCAAATATTTCTTCTTGACTGATTTTAATCTCCTCTTCCTTTTGCGGTTTGTAGATAGTTGTTTCCCATATATGATAAACCTGCATGTTCTTACAAAGAATGCTTTTGTACCTTGCTGGGACTTGAATGCTGTTTTGGACACTCGATTTAGTTCACATTGTGACTAGTGAGACTTGGTCGATCTGCAAATCTATTGCTTTCATATACAGTTCACTATAGTAGTCATGGGTTTTCATGCCAAGAATATTCTTTTGTACTGTGTCCACAAATATTAATATAGAATGTTGTTTATATCTTCATATGATGACCATAGATCTTCATATCCATTTACATTACCTAATGAGAGTTCTAAGACGATGAACATTAAATTTGTGGTGTGATAATCTACTCAATAGTATTAGTAATGCTTGATCTTACTCTTGCCTTTTCATATTCTGTTCGGATATCCATCCTCTTCGAAGTATCTATGAGATTATCCTCTTGTTTCATTTTAGATTCCAACTTTAACTTGATTATCTTGCGGTTACATACTCAAAAAATTTTGAATCGATCACTGAACTTACGTGGTTCATCGTGAACTGGCAGGGTCTAAGTTCCTAAGAGCGTCTTGGCAGGGAGAGGTCACATTGTTCGGGAAGATTTCAGATGTGTGAACAACTCGCGACAAGAAAACATAAGGTGCTGGTGGATCTACGGGTTCTATTCCGTTCTATTTAAACCGGGAAATCCATGGGTGAATCTGTTTTCTTTAAGAAATTCATCTGAAGTTGTTTCTGAACCAAATTTACAATACATGTTGATGAAGAGAGAAAAGATTACAATACATGGTCATCGAACTCAGAAGCTTTCAAGTTTTCCCATGCTTGTTTATTTTGTGTCCTTCGCTCGAAATTATATGTTTTGCTCATTTTACAATTCTGCTTTCGAGAACGAAATTTAATTGATTCGCTTTCAACTCTCGAGTACGTACCCATGAGAAGCAAGTCTCGTTTAGCCAATAAAATAGAAAATCATTTTTTATTTTGGAAGTTATTAAATGTTTTCGTTTTCTAATCAGAGAGAAAAGGTAAATTCCTTTTCGAAAATGTTAAGTGTTTTGGCTATATAATGTAAGCTACGAGGAAGAGCAAAATTTATCCCATCAATAGACTTCAATACCCTAAATTTGCAGTAGTTATGGAGCATGAGCGGCTTGGTGCTAGCTATCCCGGTATGTGGCGGCTTCCAACTAATCCGCGCCGTTGTTGCATTTATCGAGTTCCTACATCTCTGCGTGAAATAAGCAATGAAGCCTACACCCCTCGCCTGGTTCTGATCGGTCCTCTTCACCATGCTTTGAAAGCTGAATCTCGCCGGTCTCTCAGGAATACACTAGACGCTAAATCCATCGATTACTTGAATACCGAGGAGATCAAGAAGCTATACCTATCTGAATTCTCAGGTATGCTTCCACGTCTGGGAAAGACCATTGATCAGTTTATAAAAACCATCCAGCAACAAGAACAGGCCATCAGAGACTCCTACTCAGAGTCTACATCATGGATTAACTCCCGAGAGTTTTGCGACATGATCTTAAGTGATGCTGTGTTCATTTTAATGTTTTCATGGAAGTGTTCACTAGATCTAACAGCAAGAAAAGGAAAAACAGTAGCAAAGAGATCTGGGGACCCTCTTCTGGATGTGCCTTGTCTTGAATACACTATCAAGCGAGATTTACTCTTACTCGAGAACCAACTGCCTTTCTACATACTCCATATGCTCTTCCATGCGATCGTCCCAGCTCTCTTCCCAGACTATTCATTCCACGAATTAGTCATGCTCCTTTTCTTTTCTCACCAAAAAAGGGTTCTTCACGCCCAGACTTTTCTACATTTTACTGATCTAATGAGGGGTGTACACGTGTTTTCACTTCCTGAGCGTGATCTAACAAAACAACAAGCCATCAAAAGTATGCCTTGCGCAGATCAATTACGCAGCATGGGAGTAAAGTTCCAGGCCGTGAAAGAAGACTTCTCAATCAATGTCAGATTAGAGAATGGTTGTTTGAAGATTCCTACTCTATGCGTTGATGATCATTTTGAGGCGACTCTCAGAAACTTGGCGGCGCTTGAGCAGTGCTACTACCCTCATGCTCCACACGTCTGTAACTATTTAGCTTTCATTGATTTCCTCATCGACACTGATAAAGACACTGAATTGCTTGCTAAGAAAGGTAACCTTCTTTATCCTTTATATTGTTCTATGTATGCCGCTAATTGTGTATTGAATTATGGTTTTCTTTTGGTTTTGTAAGGTATAATAACCGGTATGCTTGGGAAGCCTAGTTTGGTGGCTGAGATGGTGACTAAGCTTGGTCGCGGCATCTACGTGGATACACCTTCCTGTTATTCGGGCATTGCTAATCGATTGAATGCTTACTACAATAACCGGATCAACAAATCATGTTCACTCATCCGGACTGTGTGTTCGATCATCCAAGTTAAACCGAAATGAGTTGGGTAGTAAATTAGTCTTATGAAGAACCTAGTCTAGTCTTTATGTCATCTCATTTTCCATCCCCTGGAACTTTATTCGTAGCATGATAACAATCTTGCTATAAATATTCTTGGGTATATGTCGCAAAAACTTATTTAATTTCCAAAAGAAGATTCGATATCGGGTCTTATATATATGTACGTATGTTCGAGGCCAACAAATCTTGTGTGTGCATGTATCTAACTATCATAACCAGTAAAACAAAGACAGAGAGGATCATGATGTTTCCACCTGGAATTTGTTGGAGAATTCTTAGAGCAAGTCAAATTTTCTTCTTCAGCAGATCTTGCTGCATCTAGGCAATTTTCTTCTTCATCATGAGACCTACCTTGCCATAGAAGTTACTTCGAAAAGAAATCACCACTCCTTTTCTTTCCCGAGAACTATGATCAGATCACAAATCTTGAAGGATAATCATGACTTGCTTATTGAGAAAATGGACAATTGTATATTGTTGAAAAAATTACATCAAACTAACTTGATTAATAATCTTAGTGAAGTGTATGACAGTGTGACTGAGCAACGGTCAAGTCAATATCTAGACAGCTTGTTTTCTTATACACAAATGTTTTTGCGGAGAATTCCCAAAAAAATCCAAAGCAATTTTTATTTGAACGTTTAATACCTAATAGTTTTAGATTGGAATTAAAATATCTCATCTAATTATTTATGGTCATAAAATACCTCGTATGTAAACTATTGAGAGAATCAACCCGCAAGTTAACAGCTGTTAACGGACTTAACGGAATAAACTAACGGTGTTAAATATCAATCTCAAATATTTTCATTGATATATATATACAATTTGTTTTTATAATTTTGTTCTGAGAGTGAGTTCCATCAAATTTAGTTGAGTCTGTTGCTTACTCAGCCATTCAAGAAGATATCCACGAAGTTGAGATTCTCCAAGGTCAGATCTGGACGTGAGAGTACTTGCTACATATTCTTGTGAGAGAAATAAGTCAGATCTCTCAAAAACTTACAGAGAGAGTAAGCTACGGATAACAGAATCAACCTCAAAGAGTTTGGAGAATGATCGGTGTAATCTCTTTGAGAGATCAATCAGTAGAGCTTGGAGCTCAAACATCTTCTATATAGTAGTCTCTTGCGATGATATTTTCTCTCAGAATTTTTGATTTTAGAATTTGAGTTTTGTTTTGCCGCTAGTGGTGAAGGGGAATTTTTTTATATAATTTCAAAATAGTCTAGCTTTGCGGTTATCTAATATGAAAGTTTTATTCAAATTTTGTTCACATATCCATCCTCTTCATATTAGTATATCCATGCCTTTTCAAATTTCGTTTGCATATCCATCATCTCTGCAATAGATTATTTTCTTGTATTATTTTAGATCCCAACTGTAACTTGATTATCTCGCATTTACATACTTAAAAAGTTTGAATCAATCACTGAATTTATGTGATTGATGTGAATTTACAAAACATCGTATCTTGCATTTGAATATTTATATTTTATTATTAGAAAAATCATGCTTAGAAAAATGAGAACGGCATGAATCATTTATGTTGGAGATATTAGAAATGATTAATTAAACTAAATGAACTTCGAGAAATTTGAGTTTGATGATGTTTTATCAATGAAATGAAATTTAAAACAATGAAAATGAGATGAAGATAGTGATTTGATTTTGAAATTTTTCATTTTTATTCATTGTAAAAAAAACACTATTTGATTTTTATTTTTAGTTAAGTTACTTAAAATTTATGTATTAAATTTCTATGGTTAATTATAATTTTTAAATAATATAATGCTTAATGTAATATATATATATATGAACTACATACCACTTTCTAAAATTCTTTAAAAATGGTTTTGACTTGCAAAAATTCTATAAAAATCGCTTAAATCACAATTTCCTCTTCTTTATCTCTTACTCTTCATTTGTTGCCGTGAGTTTTCACCATTCACAATTGCCTAGTGACTAGTTTGTTGCCGTGAGTTTTCACCATTCAGAATCATAGTGAAATATTCTCATGTCATATATATATTTTTGGTAAAAATAAAATGTCAAGTGTCGAAATAAAATGAAAAAAGAAATATGAAATTAGAGAAATACAAAGATTGAAAAGCGATGTCTGCAGAAAATAGATGTTGAAAGCAAAATAATGTTTGCAGACATAAAGTATAGGGAATTTTGCCAAATGTGCCACATTTTGGGAAAATCCTAGCAAATGTACCACATTTGAATTGGATTTAGCATCCATACCACATTTGGTGTTTGTGTGGCAACTCTTGGACGATTTTGCCCTTCTCTGTGCGTCAGGTATGTGTCAGGGGAAGGAGCTACAGTAGACGCCGGTTGGGAAACGGGGACAACTTTGTATCAGAGAAGGACAACTTTGTGTCAGAGAAGGACAACTTTGTCTGAAAAACAACTTTGTGTCAGAGAAGAAGGACAAAACATTGCATTAAATGCAGTTTACATTTATCATGGACAATAATTATGAAATAGAGTGAATGATGTCCCCCAAGAATAAGTCAAGATCTCTTGATTGTCCATCGCCAGATGATGTGGTTTTACCAGCCAGAGATCTGGATTTACTCGGGGACAACTTCTCTTGATTGTCCATCGCCAGATGATGTGGTTTTACCAGCCAGAGATCTGAATTTACTCGGAGACAACTTGATCTTTATTTTATTCCGCCAGAGAGCCGAAGACGAAGATCTGGATTTACTCGGGGACAACTTTGTTTTACCAGCCAGAGGGACGAAAACGGTTACCAATGCGTTAGGAGAGAGACTGTGGACAGCAGAAAATTCGGAGAGTCCCATCAACCGCAGGGTCTTGTCTCAGTAAGTTGGAGGGTAGAATCGTCTTTTCACATGATGAATGTGGTATGGATGCTAAGTGGGCTCAGAAAGTGGTACATTTGCTAAACTTTTTGAAAAAAGTGGTATTGGGGCTAATTTTCCCTAAAGTATATTCGGTTGTGCAATGAAACAAAGATGTAGCAAAAAAAAAAAAACAGTCCTATACAAACATTGATTTTCTTAACCACTAAATTCAATAAAGTATGCAATTTTGATCCACACACCCTTAGCTTAAATTAAATCGTCACATTTTTTTCCAACTGTCAAAACTGAATCATGAATCTGAGAACAACATCATCATTATAACACTCTTTAGAATCTTAATCAAAAAAAAATAATTGTGTAATATATACAATGTAACATGTATCCAGGGCAACAACATTATGAGATTCACTTGCCCGTGATGAATGGGTGAGCTAATGCCTGTGACACTGTAAGTCTCTTTTGAGGATCAAGTGTGAAAATTTTATCCAGAAGATTCCTAAAATGAACCAACACCTTGGGATCTTCATCCTCATAACGTCGTCTAATTACTGAACCTAAATCTTTTGGCTTTATGTTTACCATTATTCTCCTTATGGTCTTTCCAGTAACACTATCCTCCTCTGTAGCATAGAAGCATAAGTCCTTATCGAAGTGCTGATCGATAAATGCTCCCTTGCGAAGCATCTTTTTAGGGAAGGGACCTTTCAGTTCCATATGAAGGCGTAACATATCATTGTTTGTGGAGCCAGGGAACATAATTTTCCCGCTATAAAGCTCATACAGACAACAACCAACAGACCAGATATCTAACGGATGGTCGTAGGATAGTCCAAGAATGATTTCTGGAGCTCTGTAGAAGCGACTAACAAGATATGGTGTAACTTGGTTTTCACCAGCAAACATTGCACTACCAAAATCACAAAGCTTTAACATGTTTCTTCCCTCATTCACTAGTATGTTGTCAGGCTTTATATCGCAGTGAAGAACCCCACAGTTCTTGAGATGTTTAATGGATATGAATAACTGCTCAGCATACACTCTAACATCAGATAGTTTTAGACCAATGTTGACACCAATCTTCTTCACAACTTCACGGAGATTTAGATGAAGAGACTCAAACACCAAGCAAAGGTGGTTCCTATATTTGAAAGTTGAAAGAAGACGAACACAGTGGCGCTTATTCTCTGGGTCAGAGCCAGCTAGCTTATTCAATATCCGAATCTCAGCCTGGCCAGCCTTGTGCATTGTCTCATTGTTCCGAATAATTTTTATAGCCACTTCCTCAGGTTCAGCTAGTTCAGGTTTTGTGTCTTTTGCCCGCACCACGGTAGAGAAGACACCTTTTCCATGAGTAGCCATGATTTCATACCTATCATCAAGTAGTTCACCAAACTGATAACTGTAGTAACCTTCTGCATCATCCCAATTATCATGGAGTCCACTCCTTACAAAAGGAACAAGGCCATTCCCTTTCCGAGTACCAGCAGCTGGAGACTCCCCAAAGATATCATCACTGAACATGTCACTCTTTGGGCTGCCTTCCTCAACCTCTGTGGAAGCTAGTGTCCTATCTAAGTCTGAAATCACAAGCTGTGCAGGTGGTTCCCCAACTGTCGAAGATAGCTTGGCGACTTCACCGTCTACCGCCTCAGTATCCAACCCAACTTTAGCTTGAACATCTGCCACAGTAGAGGACTGCTCCAACTTTTTCTTATATTTCTCCAATATGGCTTGCGTAATTTTCCTGCTTTCCTCGATTCTGTTTAGGTCTACAGCTTCTTGTTCTTCAACTTCCCAAACAACATCTTCACCGTCATCATCATTATCAATTTCTGACTTTTCAACGTTGCCTTGAGTTTCTTTGAAACTGCAACCGTTAGGTTTATGGCGTTTTACAGAATCTAAGTCATCTTCTGCATCATGCCTCACTTTCCCATATCCATAACCACCACTTGTATACTTCTCCTGATCACTCTGGAGTTCTTCCCTATCTTGATCCTTACGTCTCTCTCTTTCATTCTCCCTCCCAGTCTCTCTACTACTATACCTGGCATTGTCAGTTTCAGACCTTTCAACGTTACCCCGAGTTTCTTTGAAATTGCCGCCATTAGGATTATGCCCCTTTATAGAATCTGAGCTTCTTATCTCTACGTTATCTTCTGCATCATGTACTGAGTGTTTGTGCCTCACTTCATCAAGACTTTTATGCTTCTCCGGATCACTCTGGAATTCTCTTCTTCCTCTATCCCTATCTTGAACCTTCCGTCTCTCTCTTTCATTCTCTCTCCCAGTCTCTCTACTACTAGACCTAGCTTTATCTCCACTCCTCCTATCTCTGTAGTGGTCTCTATTGCTATCTCTATCAATGCTTCCCCTCTTCGAAATCTCCCCTTCCTCCATCTCAAGTTCACCACCGTCCCCCAAAGACATAGAAACATTCTCTTCATCAAGATGATGACTGTGTCGATGCTTGTGATCATGATGGTGCTTGTGATGATGGTGTTTTTGCCGCTTCGAAGATTTAACGACTTCTTCGGACGGCGAATACGACCGGCGGTGTTTGCGGTGGTTTGATTCTACCATCTTATCTCTCACCATCAGATCGTCGGGAAAAGAGAAACAATCGCAAAATTAGGGTTAGGGTTCGATTTCTCGCGCGCTCTTTCTTCCCTCACACTCTTTCAATTTGTGTATCCGTCAATTAAAAATCGTCACATTTATATGAAATCTACAGTCGGCAAATTAAACTATTTTAAAGTCCATAATGACACAAAAGAAAGGGCCCAGGCCCATGGAGAATAATGATTAAAAGGATAGAGTCGTAGTAAATCATGTCCGTTCATTCAAAACCTTTTAGATGGATGGATGACACGTCATCGATCCGCGTAAAGCTCAGGTAACCAATGAAAGCCAGCACAAGCCTATATATAAACAAAATCTCTTCTCTTTATTTTCATCAGACGCATCTCTCAATTGTCTAGTGATTGCATTTTACTTTCAAATCACAATTTCCTCTCATCGCTAAAGTCATCAATGGCTCCGAAGGCGGCAGAGAAGAAACCGGCTGGGAAGAAGCCAGCAGAAAAAGCTCCGGCAGAGAAATTACCAAAGGCGGAGAAGAAGATCACCAAAGAAGGCGGAAGCGAAAAGAAGAAGAAGAAATCGAAGAAGAACATCGAAACGTACAAGATCTACATCTTCAAGGTTCTGAAGCAAGTTCATCCAGATATCGGAATCTCTGGGAAAGCGATGGGAATCATGAACAGTTTCATCAACGACATCTTCGAGAAACTCGCTCAGGAATCATCGCGATTGGCTAGGTACAACAAGAAGCCGACGATCACTTCTCGGGAAATTCAGACGGCGGTGAGGCTTGTGTTGCCTGGAGAACTCTCGAAACACGCTGTTTCTGAAGGCACTAAGGCGGTTACAAAATTCACCTCTTAGGGTTTATATCTCTTAATTCTCGTTCGAATTGGTTTAGTTTTATCGCTTTCTTCTAGAATTGTGGTGGTAAATCTGTGATTAGTGAGATCTTTGAATGAATAGGTTTCTTCATAAAAATTGGGAATTTGAACAGATTCAGAAACAATTGCTCAATTTTCTTTGAATCATGGATCAGGATAAAAAATTTGCAGAGATTTGTATCATGTTGGTTATATATGATAAACCAAGACTATTATAATCTCAAATCCATTATCACCCAAACTGGCTCAAAAAACAAAAGAGAACAAGAGTTTTTTCATCATCTCAAATCAAAGAGTTTCTGATTCTATGTATAGCACAGAACAAATTCTCAACATTGAAAAAATTCAGATATGCCTTAGAACATTAGTGCAAAAACACATGGTTACCAGATAACTCACGGTTGTCGTCTACCAGCCAATCCAGCGTGTGTGCTTCGAATTGTGAAGGACTAATCTGTTGTTAAGAGACACGATATTCGATAAATATCTATCATTACACTTGGGAAAAAGAATAAACAGAGTTACTCATGGTCGTCCTAAGTAAGAAAACGTTACAACTGGGCCAATTTGAGACCCATAATAAACAAAATGCTAGGCCCATGAATAAGAGTATTACAGACGTTACACGTGTATAATTGTGATTCGTCCCGAGTAAGGTGGCCACGTCTTTGTCTCCATTTGTTGACCTTTCTTTGCTTTCTTAATATTCCTAAAAAACCTGGTTTGATCCATTTTGCCTTGTCTCAGATTAGCTTTGCAATATCTTGCTGGGGTTTCGTGTAATTTCTCATTTTGGATATGGTCGTTCGGATTATTGTTACCATGATTCGGCTATAGTGTTTGTTTTGTTGCCTCTTCTGATTGATCCCAAGCATCGTTCTTTACTGATTTTTAGAGATATCTCTGAGATCTGTCTCTGCGATTCGTCGCATTTGATTAGGGTTTTTTTTTTTTGGATTGCTTCTTCGAGGGTATCAAAGAGGATAGAGAAAATGCGGGTGTCCTCTGAGATACTCCTTCTTTCTTTGGTTCCGGCGTTGACTTTTTATCATTCTGGTTTGAGTTCTAATCGTTTGAAACCTCTTCAAAAGAGTGATTGGCGTGGTAATCTTAGTTAAACAAAGTTTCCCTCTTCCTACAATTTCTCTGTTTTTAGATCTTTTTCAAGTTTCTCTTCGGTTTCGTTTGTTCTCACGCATTTTCTATCTCGAAGAAGAACAAGCTTTTGATCTCTTTCTTCGGACATCTTAGTCGGTAACCAATCTTTCGGTGTTTTGACATTTCGGCTGCTCGATTTGCCAGGCAAGAGGTAATTTGGCTCTATGATGATTTTCTTGGCTAAAGTGTTGTTTGATCTTAATTTCTCTTACTGATGATGGTATTTAAATTTGTGTTCGTTGCAGTTACTTTTGGATATGAGCTCTGTCTGTGGTGGGTTGGATTTCAAAGATGCAGAGTCTCACCTTGAGAGCAGCTCTGCTTCCAGTCCCAATAAATGTTCTAATGGCTCATCAAAGCATATCTCTTGTGTTGGATCTGATGATGCTCAAGAGTCTGATGGTGATGATAGTGGTTTTATACACCAAAATGTGATTGAAGATTCCAAAGACAAGGCCATCAGCGAACCCATCCTTGAGTCTTTACCTCTTGAGTCTTTGGATGATGAAACTGAAGACAAGAACCTTGCAACCGCATTGCAAGACATGTTCTCTGAGAGTGTAAGTAACCCCATCTTTACTCATGACACTGGTCGCTATCTTTATACTTGTTGGTTTTTTCTGTTCTTTTGCCTTTGTTCTTTGTCCTGTTTTGCATAAGGTGTGGTGTGCAAGGCTAACCGTATCTTTATACAGTATATTGCTGATGTCCAAGTTTCTGTGTGTGGTCATATATATATACTTGAACTTATATATACTACGAGTTTCCTCGTAGCTTTAGGCTTGTGATCCTGGCTGTTTCCATCATATGTTGGTAGTTGCTTACAACATCTAGGACCAACCCTTTAGTCTTTAGTGGTAGATGTACAAGAATGTTAAGGAGTTACGTTACAAAGCATCCGTGGCCAAAGCAAGGACAGAGCTTCTCCAAATCCGATTTATGATCCATGACAGAGTACAATTCCTCAGATTTTGGCTGTGTAATATATATCTCAATGGTTGGAGCTTATCAATATCTTTTCTGTTTCTGATATAAATAGTAGAGAAATGCTGTGTTTATATTGGCTGCTTCTGATTTTTGTTTCTTGTAATCCAACAACAGATGAGTGTGGTTACTCTGATTCCTGCCATTAAAGGTGGTCGAGAGAAGCATGGCAAGTCACTCGAGAAGCTGAGAGTGTCATGGGCTGAAGATGTGTATGATCCTCCACCTTCCATTGTCTCTCACACAAGAAGCAAGAAACAGCAACCGCAGAAATCAAAGAGCAAAGACAACCTGAAAAAAAATGGAAAGAAAGGACAAAAGGGAAGCAGCCATTCCCGTGGCAGCAAAGATAAGAAGCAGATTTCTTCTCGCAGCAGCAAATACAGTCGTGATAAGTTTGACTGGGCAACACAAATGTCTGTTCTAGCTGCGTCCTCTTGAATCTGTGTAGCATGACCAAGGCACTTGCTACTTCCTTACTCTTGTCTCTCCTCTCTCTCACTCTCTCTTGTTTATAAATAAAAGGATTTGGTGTGAAAACTTTTCTTGAGTTTCAGAACGATTGTTGTTATTCGTACGGAATTGAGTTTGATTTACACCAACTATTATTGTGAAGCTCTCGACAGTTTATGTATAATATAGCTGATAATTTGCGAGAAGTTGTTGCTGCTAATTTTTTTTTTCCTCAAGTTGATGCTGCTAATTTAGTAGAGCAGATTGGGTGGTAGTCCCTACATTTCAACTCTCAAGTATGATGAAAAGCGTGCACAGAAATAAAATTTCAGTTTGAACAAAACCCTTGCATGCACAATACAGCAACAACATTAGTATTATATATTCTTAAGACTTTATTATATTTGCTTCTTCTTTTTAATTCTTCCCTTTACAAAATATCTCCACTAGGTCTCACCTCCCCTCTCCTGTGTCAACCCTAAATTCTAATATTCTCTTTGTTAAGAGCTTGTACAAAAAATAACAGAGGTACACAAGAAATTACCCTTCTGCAAAAAGAAAACAAAGAGTGGGTTTCTAAAGGAGCGAGAAAGCAAAAAAAAAGGAAAGATCACAAGTCCTAAAATCCGGATGAAGCTTCAAAAAATCTTCCATGAAAGATGAAATCAGATGAGTGAAGTTGATTCTGAAAAACTCGGTACTTTCTTCTCGAGCATCGATGTTCCTTTGAATATTGTAAGTTGCACTGCTCTCTGGTACTTCTGTAACTGTAAACACAAACACCATTGTTAATCCTCTTTTAACCAGACTGCGCAAACCATTAAAGATTTGCCAGGAAAAATGTCCCAGGCCAAACTTTACGTACTCGATGTTCAGTCATCTTTGTGAAGCCAAATTTTTTTGTCCAGATAGACTCAGCTTCTTCAGCTGCTGGGAGAAGCAAGTTCTCAACATTCAGAGAGGAAAGAAGATTCTCAACGCAAGCAAACAGCCCTTGAAAGTATCCCTAAAGAACCATTAAACAAATTGGTTTTGTCACGGAGTATAGTAAGTGAATCCGCCACAGTAAAGAAACATGGGATGTACAAAACCTTACCCTTCCCTGATACTCTCGGCTTGTAGCTACAATAGGAAGTTCTGCAACCTTCTGACCAAATATCCTAAGCAGCGCGGCAGAAACAACAAGGGAACTAAATATGCAGCAAAAACAAAAGAAAATAACAATTAGGGAGATTGAGAGATGGTAAAAGAAAATTACAGAAAGAAAGATAAATGCATCAAGAACACCAAACATACTTAACCATCAGGACCAAGCAGTACATTCCTCCAAACTCCTGACCTGATATATTTCTCCTGTAAACATGTTGGAAGAATTACCGGGATGATCAATTACTATAACCATATGAATGAACAAGGAACTTGAATCTGAGTTTATCACAGTACAGCTTACCCATAGACCATGACAGGAATGAGATCACGACCAGACTTTGCCACAATGGGATCAAAACACTCCTGAAAAGTAAACTCATTCGTTATACGTGTTTATAAAATAAATTTACAAGCCAGATAATCTCAAAATGATTTGAGCACATTTATAAGTCGAGGCATACCCTGAAAATAGTAGCTGCTCGTGAAAGTAAGGGTAGATGCTCTGGGTATCGACTTTTTCCACTAAGCATCCTCCATTCCACAGTATCTCCATTGTCAATATATATTCCTTTTTCTCTGTATTTTCTGCTTATCGTGTCTAACAAAACCGTGGGAATAGTTTGTGGCCCACACGAAGCAGAGCTTTGAAGAGCCGTGTGAATCCTGCTGCAGTCACTACAGCAGAACCATTTACCTTGGGGGATACCCTACAACATTCAGGAAAGAAGTTGAGACAGGTTCAATGAACATGTGAACACAGACCACCAATATTACAGGACTTACTTTCAAATCACAAAGATCATTTTCCCTTAGACACCCGACGTGGTACTCTTTCTCACACTTCAAGAGCAAAGAGAAAATTGACCATTAGACAAGACAGACGTGGTTAAAGAAAATCTTGAATAAGAAACCAGAAACAACGATACCTGGTCACAGAGAATAACAGTCCTATCATCAAATTTCCCAATGCTAAAATCATGCGACCTATCAGAAGTGGGAGAGAAGCAATAAGCAGAGTGGAGTACACATATATGCGCATTCAAACTAAAAATAGGTATACAGCCAACCTGCAGAACACGCAACCACCAATTTCGCTTTCTGGTGCTTTAACAACTCTTGTCAGTCTTATAACTATGGGTTTTAAATTGGGATCAGTAGCAGTGGCTGTTTTACAAGAGGTAGGTCCATCATTGCAGCTTGAACAGTACCAAGTACCTTCAGGCATTGATTGAAATTTCAAGCATGCTGCATATGAAAAGGTTCACAGAGTATTAGAACTGGAGAACAACCTTAGAGCTGATACCAAAGCAATGTTGATTTTGCAAATCATCTTTAAGAATTTAGTTCAGAACTTAAATGGAAAGAGGCATATATAAGTAATTCCTTTTTCATTATGCTTCTGAAAATTTTCTTGAAATATGTGCTTAAAAGGTTAATTTGTAGATTCACCATAGTAGTTAGAACGAGCAAGTCTACTATCCTTTAGCAGTAACGTATACCCACCTGTATGAAATGCTTGAGGACATCCAGCACAGAGTAGCAAATCTCCACCATCGCCACAAATAGAACACATGTCATCACTGTCACCAGTTGTAATGACATGGCCCCCATCCGCCAATGACATGGCTATATCATGCAATGACAATCCGGAAGATATGTGGATATGACGATAACTGCAACAGAATCAGAAACTTCAGATATGTCTAACATCAGTGCAAAAACACATCTTAACTAGGTAACTCACGGTTGTCGTCTACCAGCCATTCCAGCATGTGCTTCGAATTGTGAAGGACTAATCTGTGGTTAAGAAACACGATAAATATCTGCCATTCTACTTGGAAAAAGAAAATGAGTCTAAAGGCCAATTTACAGAGTCACTGCATCCAGCATATTACCTCTGTGTCACAGCAGCTACATACTATACCACTTCCTTGCTTGTAACCCTGCAGTAGTTTCTGCGAGAAAAACAAGTGTCAGCAAAACCAGACAAACTTAAATTTGCAACAAGAATAAACAGAATAATTCAATTAAGCCCGCGATAACAGACCTGTGATTTCACAATGTAAGCCAATTCAGTCCCATCTGGTAGCCCATTTGGCAAAAACAGCAACCGGTGTAAATCATTGTCCCTATAAAGATATGATTGCAATTTGTTGTCATCACCCATGGGATTGCATATAGAGAATGAATGTGAACAAGGTTACTCAAATAATGAGGTTCACAACAGCATTACAAACCTCTTCCATTTACCGCCTCCGGAAGCTTTCTTATGGCAACCCATACCAAACATATGAGAGGTAAGCCTACAGTATTAACAACCAAGTAAATTTCCTTTGTTCCGTAAACAAATTGTCAATAGGTAAACTCGAGAAATCAATATCTAAGCAAGAAACTTTGAGGACCGTACTTCTTTGCTTTTGGCTTATGTTCGTGTCGTGTGTCCTTTGTACTGATTTTCTCTCTAAAATAATTGTTCTCCGGAAAATATGGAGTAGAGCTTTGACTCTCATCAAGAGACCAACCAGAACCAGGATAACTGCAACTTTCACAACAGTAACTTAGACCATGTCAACCTTCTTATAAAATAAACAACTAGATAATAAAGGATCCAAAGTGTCGCCGAACGTCATCTTCAATTACAAATCTTTGGAGATTTCAGATCAAGTAACAACACAAGTAGGAGGTCAAAGTACCTAACAAGGAATTGAAACGAATGATCCATGATATGGTTGCTATCATCTTCAGCCATGTTATTATCTTGCTGGAAACTTTCTGAAGAACAGAATAGCAAGTCAGCTATGTCCATCAGAAAGTAAAAGAATACACATTAAAATCCAGGGAAAGTACTTTTAAAATGCTAGGAGATTGCCAAGCAAACAATGCAGACTAAATCCACCAAGCAACTAAGATACCTTTCCAAGCCTGAAAACCCTCCTCGCTCAGAGCAGAACCAGCCACTTTCCTTATCACCTCCTCCAAAATGTCAGGGGGAGCAACCCTCAGCTCTTGAATTATGTTATAAACAGCCCGTCCGTTCTCCAGATATATGTGATTATTAGGGTGTTTTGTTTTTCCACCAGCATGCCGCTCGAACTCATAGGCACCTAGAACCTTCCCACAAAGCGAAATATGACATAGTTAAAAATTGAGAAATTGCACTTCACACAAGAAAACTATGAAAAATCGTGAAGAACAAACTTACTTTCGAGAAATCGCAGGCAGTACAGCCACACAAATACCCACCCGAGTGGATTATCCCTTGAAGCTCTCTCTAGTGACCATAAAAAGTAATAATAAGAACAGATATCACCTATAATTTATCGTAACAGACTGAGACTATCCAAACCCATATCAGGAGAAACCACAAAGAATACAAACTTACCGCAGGTGAGGTTGAAAGGTACTTCACCCGAGCACCATTGAGGATCCCCGTCGCCAATAGCTTCTTCACATTAGATGGGAAGTTGGTAGAGTCAATCTTCTCCAACATTTTCACACCTAAAGTTGAAGAAGCTACATTCGAAGGAGAACCCTCCCAAGTATGCTCTTGAATCATAGGCAAATCACAGACATCCTCATTTCGTTTACTGAGCTTAAACGTGATTTTCGTTATCCCAGTAGTGCTAAGATGTTTTGGAATCTCCCGTACAAAACTTGACAGTACAGCATCACTCGATTGCGAGCTATCAGCTAGCGATGCACAATATTCACTGTGTTTCTCATCACTAATAGCCTCATAGGAACCAGAACCACTGCCAGAACAAGACCCAACACGATCACCAGAACTCGATTTAGCCGGATTACTAGTGATATCGCGAAAACTAGAGGCGTTATCCACCACCGGAGACGCGACAGGGTTAGATATTTCCGACCTAATGTCATCATTTGAAGGTTCCTTGGCTTGTCTCTTGGTGGAGGAATAAAGCTCTTCATCTAGATTATCTTGTTCAATACAAAGACGGTCTCTCTTCAAATCCTTCTTCGTTTCTGAATTCTCTTCCGCCATTTCTCCTTTCATTGACATCTCCAAACAAACTGTTCCTTCTCCCATTGTAAAAATTTCTCAACTTCCCATTGTACTGTGACTGAGATTATCTCTGAAACTGATAAAGCTATGAAACAATTCTTACTCCAAGCTTGGGGTACACTTCTAATGCGAATCCGATCCGTAAAACACGTTAGATTGTCACAATCCAAATCGGAGAAGAAACTGTCTGGTGATTTAGGGATTTTTTTTGTTCTTCTGAAATCCGAATGGAGAAAAAGGTATCGATTTAGTAACCCTAAAAATTCACATATGTAGATGATTAAAGTCGAAATATTCACATCAATACTCGTAAGAAGGAAACGGAGGTGGAAACCGACCCTAAGCTCGACGAGAATCGAAAGTTGGGAAGAAAATTTTGTGGAATGTGAATCTAAGATCTGCAGAAAACGATTAGAAGAATTGATTTCGAAACAAATCCGAAGAAGGTAAGAGAAGAAGACCCAAGGGAGACGAATTAGGGTTAGGGTTTTCGGAAGTGAGATAAGAGAGGGAAAAGAGAAAGAAGAGGGAACGTGTTACGCGGCAACGAACCAGAAGGAACAAAAGCTTTATTTAGCGGTCCATATTTAACTTTTAAATGGGAGAGAGAGGAGACGACCAAGGACACTAGTTTTTTTTTTTTTTCTACATCGACATAACTATTTTTTTTTAAGCTGACAAAAAAAAAAAGACAAATCTTATTGGTAATGATAAAATAAAACTTTCCTAATTTACTTGTACCAAATTGTGAATATCGAATTAACAGATTTTAACAGATTTGGATGGATAATATTACAGACTTTTAAAATATTTTGTTGGTGGAATAACTGAAAAAATATTTAGCGGGAGAAATTTTATTTTATTTCTAGTGTTAGTGGCTTACAAACGTGTTGCGTTGAATTGAGGTGACGAGTTCGATTCTCTCTTATCACACATCCTTTAAAAATATATATATATCAAACTTACTAAATAATTGTCCTAATTTTTTTATTTTTTTATTTTGCTTTCAGCTTTCAAAATTAAAGGATCGGCTCTGTTTAACATTTTATGTAATAGTCAAATTTCGATTCATATTTGTTAATGTAAGTTAAGATAATACTATGTTTTCACCCCGGATAGTCGGATAGAGGTAGCATCAATGTACCATGTCCATATAAGTTTCTTTTGGTAAGAGAGTTTAGATAACACTTTTTTTTTTTTTTTGGATAACACTAACTAGGAATATGTAGACAGTACTAGCAAATTCATTTTAGAGTGACTTTTCTTTAATATAGAGGATGATACTTCTTCTCTTTTTCTGGCTGGAACTAAGTAGATTAGTTGGGAGAGAGGTATAAGGGAGATAGATAACAAAATGTTTCAATGAAAACAATTTCATATCTGGTATAGCTATGAAGACCAAAGGTACAAGTTCTATGTAGATTAATGTATAAAGGTTTTCATTTAATAATGAACCTTCTTAAATGCATAATTATTGATGATAGTAAATACTACTAGAGATATCATAGAAGGAAGAATCACATATGGTAGATATGATGATCTCTCAACGGTCAAGGCGAATCGAGATTTAGACTCAAGATTATGAAGATAGTGAGTGCTTGTGACAGAAATTCGAAGATCTATTGAAAAGAAAACGAGAAAATCCTCAGAGATGTTACAAGAGGGAGCAAAAGAGATTAGACCTAAGCAGAAGTTTAAAGCCTGATATATATAGTCCATGAAGTTTGGATGGCCAAAGAGAGGGATAAGAGAACAAGATCTATGGAAAGGGATAAGGACAGAGATAAGGTGCTAGAAGTCGAAAGGAATGTTTCTATGGTTCTTACATTGTTAACACGATAAATTATTGTCCATATGTTTGATATTAATTTTTTTACCAAAATAGTGAAAATAGGTACAAAGCATCACAGACCAAATAGAAATCCATATCCATAAAGCTTAAGCTTAGCTTTAGAGACCTATAATAAGAAATGATGATGCTAAACATCAACGCTTACAATTATAACAATAATGAGAATGGTCCCTCGATGGAGTTCCACAGTTGTAGCAAAAAGCCAACCCACACCTGCAAAATGTGTTAAACAGATTATTAAAAAAAAAAAAACCTTTGTTTCAAAATTTTGCATCATAGACAATAAGAAGAAGAAGAAGATACATATACCTGCACTTCATGTATAAGCAACCATGAGACTTCTCAATATAGAATTTGCAAGAAGGACATCTTTTCCATTTCTTTTTCTTTGCCATCGTCGCAAGCAAAATATCATCTCTTCCTCTTTCGTTCTCCGCTAGCTTCTGAAACTCCTCGCAAGTCATCTCCGGATGCCACTTAGTCCCACACTCTACACACACCATTCTATGGCAATGAGGACACTCTGAGTCTTTCATCACTTCACTCTCGTCCATGAAAAGCAAAGCAGAGCAATCCTTGTAAGGACAATAGAATCTCTTCGAACGCATCACTACTGCTTCACACAAAGCATCACCCCACCGATCAAAAACCTCTCTTGGCAAGATATAACGACACTGATCTGGCTCAAGCCGACCAGAGCAACCAGAGACAGGACACTCGATTGAGAGGATGTTGTCTTGTAATTTAGCTGCTATATATTTCGAGACACAATCGTTGCAGTAGAAGTGAGAGCATCCACCGATTCGAAACGATTCAATTATGGATTTTGTTTCAACACATATCTCACAGTCGAAAGTCACCATCGCTGACGCCGAAGACTGTCCCTTTTCTAAAGATTTGGTGTGGATTGGTGGTGGGAAACAGAGGATTCTGATATCATCGTCTTCATCATCGTAAAGATCAAGATCTATGTAAATTGGAGATTCTGATTTGATTGATCTGTTGTGAGGAGGGTAGACCCAGAGACGTTGAAGCTTGCGATCACGATCGTAATTCTCAACGGAAATGGCATCACGCTTGGTGGAACCACGAGTGGATAGAGGAGTGGAGGAGAAGATGAAACAATCGGAATTGTCTCCGTCGTCGTTTACATCTCCGGGAAGATCAACGATCACTGCATTAACAGACTGTGTCGCCATTTCAAAATGATACCAATTAGGTTTCGTCCACAATCAAAATTAGGGTTTATGAATAATCACTCTACTTTTTTGCTTGCATTAGATCACTTTCCATTTTCCAAAGCGTCTCACTTTTTGGCTACTGTTAAAAAACCTAAATCGAATCTTTAATAATTTAACCGGTTCACATACGGACCGGTCGGTTATTAAAAAATCCAAATCCTTAAACCCTTTTGTTGCTTCATCTTCTGAAACTCTCTCATCATCTTCTCTGAAACTATGGCTTTCTCTTCGTGTCTCAAATTCTATCCATTTTCTATCTCTCAAGCTAAAACCCTAACTCATTATTCCTTCTCTCTCAAGCTAAATCCTCCTTCTTCTACCATCTCTTTCGCTTCTCCTAACTCAGCAGCTCTCTCCTCTTCCGATGTCAAGCTTCTCGACTCACTCCGTAGCCAGGCTGATGATTCCGCCGCACTTCGTCTCTTTAATTTGGCGTCTAAGCAGCCAAATTTCTCACCTGAACCTGCTCTTTACGAGGAGATTCTCCTCCGGTTAGGTCGGTCTGGTTCGTTTGATGATATGAGGAAAATTCTTGAAGATATGAAGAACTCAGGATGCGAAATGGGTACTTCTCCTTTCTTGATATTAATCGAGAGTTATGCTCAATTCGAATTGCAAGATGAGATTTTAGGTGTTGTTCATTGGATGATTGACGAATTCGGGTTAAAACCAGATACCCATTTTTATAACCGGATGCTGAATCTTCTCGTTGATGGGAATAATCTGAAACTTGTCGAGATTGCTCACGCGAAGATGAGTGTTTGGGGGATTAAACCAGATGTATCTACGTTTAATGTTTTGATTAAAGCTTTGTGTAGAGCTCATCAGCTTAGACCTGCGATTTTGATGTTGGAGGATATGCCTAGTTACGGTCTTGTTCCTGATGAGAAGACATTTACAACGATTATGCAAGGGTACATTGAAGAAGGAGACTTGGATGGAGCTTTGAGGATTAGGGAACAGATGGTTGAGTTTGGGTGTTCATGGTCTAATGTGAGTGTTAATGTTATTGTTCATGGTTTCTGCAAGGAAGGGAGAGTTGAAGACGCTCTCAATTTCATTCAGGAGATGTCTAATGAAGGCGGGTTTTTCCCGGATCAGTATACGTTTAACACGTTAGTTAACGGTTTGTGTAAAGCAGGGCATGTGAAGCATGCTATTGAGATTATGGATGTGATGCTTCAGGAAGGGTATGATCCAGATGTGTATACTTACAACTCGGTGATCTCGGGTTTGTGTAAACTTGGAGAAGTGAAAGAAGCAGTGGAGGTTCTTGATCAGATGATCACTAGAGATTGTTCTCCAAACACGGTTACTTACAACACTTTGATCAGCACATTATGCAAGGAGAATCAGGTTGAGGAAGCCACTGAGCTTGCCCGTGTTCTCACCAGCAAAGGGATTCTTCCTGACGTTTGTACATTTAACTCTCTGATACAAGGTTTGTGTTTGACTAGGAATCACCGGGTCGCGATGGAGCTGTTCGAAGAGATGAGGAGCAAAGGATGTGAGCCTGACGAGTTCACTTACAATATGCTGATTGATAGCTTATGCTCCAAAGGGAAGCTAGATGAAGCTCTAAACATGCTTAAACAAATGGAATTGAGTGGTTGTGCGCGGAGTGTGATAACTTACAACACTTTGATTGATGGGTTTTGCAAAGCCAACAAGATTAGAGAAGCCGAGGAGATATTTGATGAGATGGAAGTACATGGAGTTTCAAGAAACTCTGTTACATACAACACACTCATCGATGGGCTTTGTAAAAGCAGGCGAGTAGAAGATGCGTCTCAGCTCATGGATCAAATGATTATGGAAGGACAGAAACCTGACAAGTTCACATACAACTCGCTTCTAACACATTTCTGCAGAGGAGGTGACATAAAGAAAGCTGCGGATATCGTGCAAGCCATGACCTCAAACGGGTGTGAACCAGACATTGTGACCTATGGAACCTTGATAAGCGGTTTGTGTAAAGCTGGTAGAGTTGAAGTCGCAAGTAAGCTTTTGAGGTCAATTCAGATGAAAGGGATTGCTTTGACACCGCATGCTTATAACCCGGTGATTCAAGGGTTGTTTAGAAAGAGGAAAACAACAGAAGCTATTAATTTGTTTAGAGAAATGCTTGAACAGAATGAAGCTGCACCAGATGCAGTATCTTACAGAATCGTTTTCCGTGGGCTATGTAATGGAGGTGGACCAATCCGTGAAGCAGTGGACTTTCTTGTTGAGCTGTTAGAGAAAGGGTTTGTGCCTGAGTTTTCTTCTTTGTACATGTTGGCTGAAGGTCTTCTCACTTTGTCAATGGAAGAGACACTAGTCAAGTTAGTTAACATGGTGATGCAGAAAGCTAGATTCTCGGAGGAAGAGGTTTCAATGGTGAAAGGTTTGCTTAAAATCAGGAAATTTCAGGACGCTTTGGCCACTCTTGGCGGTGTCTTGGACAGTCGTCAGCCGAGGAGAACTTACCGGTCAAGATGATACCTTTAGAAAAAAGTATCATTCCCAATTTCGTAGAAGATATGTATGATGTTATGAATATGATTTCTATAAAGTTTTGAAGTAATTAATCCATATGATCCTATGTTTGAAGACCAACATGCAGAAACAAAACGACAATGGAGTGTTAGGTGTTCCTCATTCATTCGTTGGGTCATCCTCTCTCTTCCACTTCTAGTCTCTACGGTCTCTCTCGTCCTTACAGTTTGTATATGTAGGCTCCGATTGTTTTTGACATTGATGCAATACGACCTAGACAATGATTCAGGATCTCGTGTTCTCCGGTTACCTTGACAGATTTCAGATTAACCCAGTCAAATCCTGTGGTCTATGGTCAGTCCACTATATATTTGCTTCAATAACTATCCTCGGTTGTAATTCCAACCACAAGCGTCGTGTCCTCAACAACCATATATATGCAGATATGCTTTCTTGTTGGGGTCAGTGGGATACAAATAAAAAAGCATCTGGATTATCCACTAAAAATTGTGGATCTTTTTCTGGTATAAGTGCATATTTGTTCAATCAAGTAGATCAGTCCACATGTATCAGTAGATGACGGTTTCGTCACTAGTAGATAAATTATCACTGCCACTTGTATTACTACTTCCACATCCACTAGTGGATTTTGATATGGATCCAACCAAAACATTCTTTGAACCTGCTAAATCCTTTTACCCTTTATAGAAAAATGCCAAAACAGCATAATTTATGCGTTTCGAGAACCCACATTATCACGCTACCAACAAGGAAGACAATTTTGAGAAAAAGAATGTTCAGTTGTGATTACAGTTGAAGATAAATTTAAATTGTGAAAGACTAAAACCGAAAATCTTTGGCAAACAATCGGCTATGGATCTTGTACAAATATGTTACTCCTTAACACATGAAGAAAAAATTATCAAGAAACTGCCAACTTATGAAGAAAAACGCAGACCTGTGGGTATGGATGAACATGGTTTTAAGATGAAGACCAATCTCATCTTCTATTCAGACCACGACGGTCCCAGCCTTAATTAATTATACACTTCTCACGGGGATTCTGAATCACCTATCCAAAGAAAGATGAATATAGTGTTACTGTGATATTAACTGTTAGAGCTACATGAGCTAAAGCTTGCTTACCCTTAGAGAAAACCTCCACCGGTCCAAGCGGTGTCTGATTTCCCGTTGTGACCAGCAGATTTCTTATCACCTGCACTTTGGTAATGACCATCGAACCCATCATCTTTGGCATCATGATCATCCCAACCAGTCCAGCCATCATCATCATTAGAAGCAGATGACCCCTTTGGAGCTGCTGCTTCTGTCTTCTTATTCTCATTCTCTCCCCAACTATCCCAAGAATTTGAATTCTGCGAATTGTTGTAATGACCACTTGTTGATGATTGTGCCCTTCCTCCTCCAACAGATGAATTCGCTGCTTTGTTCCCATTTCCAAAGTTCTGGTAGTGACTATTGCCCTCACTTTCACTCTGCTGATTCCAGCTTGTTGTTCCTTCTTTAGTGAACTCTTCTACCTTCTGTGTCGCCATTGCCATTACTCCTTTCATGATTCCCCATGTCCTATGTCCTATCTCTGTTGTCTTATTAGCAACTACATTTACAGTTTCACTCACCTTGTGATCATACCCACCTTCCTTCACCTGCAATAAAAATGGTTTCTTATCTGATTTTGATTCCATTTTCCAAAACTCTATTGCCAACAGTATTATGGTAAACAAGAAATGTACAGAGAGCATACAAAAATTGTGCTTTCTACAGAGTTATAAAGAATCTCACTAGAGGTGTCGTAGAGGCATTAAGATTGAAAAAAAAAAATCAGCTTCGAGAATCATTTTTTGCAAATAAGTAACTCTGTGAAGCTAGAAAGAACACTAAATTTGTCGCTTAACTATGTCGAAAATGGGATGACAGGCGAGCACATGAGTTATTAAGCAACACAACAACTAGATATTTCACAAACTCTATGCAAATTAAGCAGAGACTAGACTACAGATAGTTACCTTGGATGTGAACTCCTTGGTTCCTGTTTGAACAACACTAGCAGCTGACTGAGCTGCAGATGCAGCAACCAGAGACAGTCTTCCAAAACCCTAAGCAATTTTAAGAACGAATCAACACACAAAACAGAATTCACCCAATTCAAAAAGGAATTGAAAAGCATTCAATTCACCTGAGAAACAACGGAGAAAACATCATCCTGTTGATTATTTCTCGGTGGTGGAGCCGAGCTTGATCCGAATCCTACATACTTACCGCCTTGCGAAGGAGGAAGACCTTCAGGCTTAGACTCATTCTCCGCCATTCTCCTCGCGAAGAAACTTTCTTTCCCCGCCGCAGAAGCCTCCAGCTCGGATCGCGTGTAGATATCCGACGACGACTTTGACTTCACATGTGCACCTCCTCTAGTTTCCGATGACCTAAAATCATTCGCTGATTGATTCCTTCTCATATCAGTTGAAGATTTATAAGAATCATCGTTATCCCAACTATCCCATCCTCCATTGTTGTTGTTGTTGTTTCCGTAACCGCCCTGAGCCAACGGAGGCTTCTTATTCATCCCCACACCTCCTCCAATCGCTTCCTTAACAACTGGCGGATCATTCCATGGTCTACCTTCAGCTAAAGCTTGGATCCGGTCACGATACACAGAAGCAGCATTCGAATTATACTTTGAAATGATATCAGTCTCTTTAGAGATTCCATATTGCGCGAAGAATTTGTTGAGCCGTTCATTGCCTCCAGCTTCCATTTTCTTGATCTGGATCTCAGACCATGAATCCATGGTGACGGATCTGACGAAGGAGATGTGAACGCCTAAGCCTCGGTGTTTCCCGGAGCATTCCAAACACATGAAGATTCCGTAAGAAACCGACGCCCATTGAGGATTCTTCTGAGCGCAGTCGACACATACCTTGTTTTCAGGCTGAGATTGGAGAGTGCGTAATTGTCTCGCCGCCGCCATGTTTCCCGGAGCTCTGATCACCAATCAATCCAACCTGAAGCAGATCTGATCCAAATCTCGCAGACTTGTGCTGCTCAGATTGATGCGTTTTTTTTTTATAACGTTTTTTCTCTTCTTCCTAATAATGTTCGACTAACTCGTTTTTTTTTTTTTTGGTACGTGTCTCTGGCACGTGAGAGGCTCTGTGTAGCACGTGTTTTTAATTGGCCCAAATGATTATTGTATTAGTCCAAATATGCACTTACAATTTGAATTTCCCCAAATCACTAGATATCCTAAAAAAAATTATACTCCCTCCGTTTCGTTTTAGTTGTCGTTTAAGGTTTTTGCACACAAATTAAGAAAATCATTAAATTTTTTGTTTTACCCTTTATTAATATATTTTATAATTTTTTCATTGGTCAAAACATTAAAACATTAATGACAAAACATTAATTTTCACCAAACATTTGCATTGAAAACCTAAAACGACAACTATTATGAAACAAAATTTTAATCCTAAAACGACAACTAAACTGAAACGGAGGGAGTAATACTTAATAACTAAATATATTTGAGTATACGGAGGTTCTTTTACTTTTACTTTTACTGTCAAATTTTGTTCCAGCAACTCAACTGTTGTTTTCATTATGAAATTAAACATAGTCAAAACTACACTTTCATATATATGTATGCTACATTTTATGAATAATTCATACTCAACCCCGAAAGATAACTTCGTTTCTAAGATGAAAAAGAAAAGAAAAAGAAAATTTCAACTTCATGAACATTAATTAGTCTTACAGTCGAAAAAATTATTACATTTTTGTCCAATGAAAAGCGAATTTCTCTGGTAGACCAGGTTGGTACTTTCCATTTATTGCATTGAGTCTAGCAATGAATTCGCGTGACTCACCACAATCAGGAATTGTGACTGCTGTGTATGCTGGAATCCGAGCATAATACTCCACTTTTGGAGACGAGCCTTGTTCCAAGTAGCAACTCCACTCTGTCTTTCGATCAGATTTAGCTTCACCGAAACTAATACGTAATGGAGTACCTTTGAATCTCACATTTTGGACAACTAGACGGTTTTTGTTAGAAGCGCAAGTGACTCTAAGCATGTGATTAGCAGCAAGCTCGTTTCTAAATATTATTGTGTTATTTTTACAAGCTTCGATTAACCCAAAATACAAAGTTATACTCCCTCCGTATTTTAATAATTGTCGTTTTAGAAATTTTATTTTTTTGAATTGGATGTCGTTTTCAAATTTCTATGCAAAATTTATTACTTTTTAATGTTTTATGACATCATAAAATATTAAAAAGTAAGAAATTTTGCATTGAAATTTGAAAACGACATCTAATTCAAAAAAATAAAAATTCTAAAACGACAATTATTAAAATACGGAGGGAGTAGTTAACAATAAAGCTATGTAATGATTCATTGTTACTTAGCAAAAAAAAAAGAAATGCTAATTTTTAGTTAACAATTCGGACTGATATGAACCTAAAAACACTTAGTGGAGTAATTTGTAGTTTTTTTTTTCTTTGGTAATGCTAATTTTTAGTGTAGTTATAAAATAGCAATTCTTTTAAGACCATGCAAAAATTAGAACACAAATGTGAACCAATTAAGCTCGTGCTTCAGAACATTTAGTGCCAAAAAGTTAGGCTAACCATTTAGATTAAACCAAATCAATTATTTGACTTTCAAACTAAAACTCGTACCTGAATTATTATAGAAATTGACTCGCGCAGTCAATATGTTAATGCATTCTAATTTGCGTATATACTTTAGTTTCAAAGGTTTGCCTTCTTTTGTTGATAAACGGAATTTTTTTCTTCTTTGGTTTAATTTTATTCATGCATAATTTAGTGAAACAGAATTCGACAGTTGTAATCTATTAAATTTGATGTATGATATATAAAAAAATCTACAACAATAAACTTTTTTTTAAATGCATGTATGGATCAGATTGATCGCATATGGAGATAAAAATTTGTATAGCGACATAAGATACCATACAATAATTATTCACATTTAAATACATTACTATCATTTACATACTAGTATACATCTCACAAGATGCCCAATCATGGTTCTTTATATGTAGACGCTCTTTCTACAATTCTTACTCAAGATCTATCTATATATTGTAGATAAACTACATCTTCAACTAACCACTTTAATCATGCATTAAGCCAAAGTTTAAGTACTACATCAATATTTTTATTGTTATCATACATTTGTGTCTCCGTTAATACTTACAGAAGACTCACTAATAATTTTGGAAACCGTAATATCCTCTACATGAGCTTTGTTGTGTTGTTGAACCACAAGGATTGATGGGATGACGTGGTTGATCGAAGAGGCGAGCACATCCCCGATAGGACCTAACTCGGGATGTTCGGCCTGACGCTCAGCTAATGCCGCAACCTCGGCCGACGGTAACCTCCCCCTTCCAACTACTATAAGGTCAAAGTCTTTACTTTGTCCTATTGACAGTATTTCTTCAATGATGTTGTTTGATTCCTTTTTTTTGTACTCCACCATTCCTTTCCATTTGCTCTTGAAGTCTTCCAATGCCCCTTCGTCTAGTTCCTATAATTGATTTTTCAAGAAAGAAAACTATAGTTATATTTGTAATAAGTGGTATATAAAAATATAGGGGAAAAGAGATTTACCTTTTCTTTTTCTGGATCCACGTTGGTTGTCAAAAAGGCATAGTTCTTCTCCTTGCCTTTAGACGTTGCCGGTCGTAAAGTGACGGCGTTACTCCTCAACGTTTCTCTCACCAAGAACCTAATAACGGTAACTTTAACGGCCGGATGCTCTGCCATCCTCCCGCCGAGCTCTAAAGCCTCACGATCATCAGGCCCACCAAAGAAAATCACACAAACCCTTTCAACCACATTTGACCCATCGAGGCTCGAATCTTGGGCCTCAATGGACCCAAGTCCTCGGTCCACAAGAACCGCCACCGAACATGGCGCGTTCTTCAAAACCCTCTGGTTAACCAATCGCCAACCATGACCAACGTTTTCTGGTAAGTTTCCGTCTCCTCCGTCTTGGTGGTGGTGGTGGCCATGACCATGATCAACGTTCCATCGTTTGTGGAAAGGTAAAATGATCATTGTGACCCTCTTGGTCTCTGCCATGTGGCAAATGTCTTCGTGCATTGTGGGTAATGGAGAGACTGCGGTTATGGGCCGGACTGCGACCCGGCCTAGTTGACGATAGGCTTCGAAGCCTCCTATGACGCTGCTGTGACGCTCACCATGACGGTAACGGTGAACGAAAGGAAGTCCGTTTTTACGGGCTCTTTGCACCATTATGATTGACGATGACCGTTCTGTTAGTTCCATCAGATGCATCACGAACAGCTTTAGCTGCAGTATCTGCCAAAATTATTTCCCCAAAAAACAGTTTTAGCTGATTATTTTAACTATATAAAATGTGTGTATTTTATACGTGGAACGATAGAAATAGTACATTTTCATAGAGCATCCAATATTTCTAGATCCCATCATTGATTTAAATATAGATATCGTAACATAAACAGATATATAGAAAGGTGACCTTGGTGGTTCGGATGGACTCGACGAGAGAGATGAGGGAGGAGACATTGGCTGGGCCGTGGAGGCAGGCTAGGATGCGAAGCTCTTCTTTGGTTGAGCCGTCGCTCGCGGACAAGTCTTTTAATTTGCGGTGGGTGCCACGTGCCGGCTTGTAAATGGCCATTACAGTCGGCGTCGTTATAAACGTTGTGAAGAGTGCCATTAGCACTAATATTGCAAACGTCTCATCGTTTAGTACCTAGTTAAAGTCAAACCCACGTACGCACCGTTTAAATAATAACCACATACTACATTAATGATTAATGGGTATAAAGAAGATCATAAAATTTTGCTAGTGCGATCAGTAAGTGACGATTACGTAAACATTGGCCCATTCGAAAAGGTAATATATATTCGTATAAAGTTTTCATGCATGCATATGATTAGTCCTTACTCCTTAATTAAAACAATAGGAAACGCCTTTACAAAAAAAAAATGTAGTATATAACTATAATCTTTGCTGGGAAGACAAGTTGAAACATTTTTTCTATATACTACATATTTCTAGAAGCATTATAGTATAATCGTGTACATATTAGGTTAATGTAAAAATAATTTTTTTGAGTAATGACATGCCTTGATTTATTGGATGTTTAACATGATTGTGTGGACACCTTAAGAGGAGAGAAAACTCTCCCATTATATATATAGATTTAAGATAAAATATTTATTTCGGATGTGACAAACCGAATCGCGGACTAATGTTTTGAAGGTACCATTGCTAAATGAACTGCATCATCTTCGATGTACATGATAATCCTAGCTATCAAATTGCAACCGTATCTATGATTAATGATTAAATGAAATGCAGATTTGAATTATGGTGATGACTGATGACTTAACTACAACAGTACACAAACCTATTCTATAAGTAATTTTTTTTCTATTTCCACTAAAATACAATTAATATAGGACTTGGAGTAGGTGGGAAGAAGCAACAAAGAAAACATTAATAATTTATCTGATCACTATATGCCGGTCAATCAACGGATTCTATTTGAGTCCATAATTTTCAGCACGTTTATAAATTCACCTAATTAAGTCCTTTTTATAGGTTAGATAGTTATCCGTACATATGAACGGGTGTTTAAGGGGTATTTAACTATTTATGTTTATGGTATATGACATATTTATGTTATTTCACCAAAATTACTTATAACTTGATCAATTTTAAAACATGAACATGTGTAAAATAGATTTTTACAGTATTTATATTTCTTATATAATGGCAATATGGCATAATAAGCTATTTGTTAACCTATGAACTTATACAATTGTTGGTTATGTTCAAATAAAACATAAGCAATTTACTATTCCGTATATCCCGAACCAGCCTACCAATTCATCCAGCCGGACACATTCACATGGATCCAACTAGAACCTAAATTTTTAAATATATCTAAACACCCTAAAACAAAGGTATAGATGCGATTAAATTAATATAATAATCGTATTTTGTTTTATATGCTTTAGTTTACCCACTAAAAGTGATCAAATAACTTTAGTGTTACCAGGTTTTTTATTCTTTATTCAGCAGATAACTAAAAGCAAAAACAAGAACCTTAAAAATTCAGAAAAAAGGAAGACAAAACTAACCTTTTTCTCCTTGCCTATGTTGAGTACAATGAGCTCCACTAAACCTTTAGTATTCATCAAGAAACCTAGTGTCAAAGCCTCTCTCGCCGGAACTTTAACCATCACCGCCACAACAAAAGTTCCAACTATCTTCCCGGCGCAAGCCGTTACCACAACAAGACCCAACATCCCCCAAGACTCAGCTCCTCTGATCTTTGCCACGTCAGTCTTCAACCCACTCGTCGCGAAATAAAGCGGTAAGAGTAAACCGGATACAAAATCCTCAATCCGTTCAATTAATCGCTGACCAAACTCTCCATCTTTCGGTATAGTTAAACCGAAAACAAACGCTCCAAAAATCGAATGAATCCCAATCAAATCCGTCGCGAAACCGGAAACCATAACACCGGCTAACGTCAAACACACGTAAGACTCACGTACGACGTCGTTTTCAGGAGATCCACGTTTCGCGACCCATTTCATTCCGGGTCGGATCACAACCAACATAAAAACCACAAACCCAGCACCCGATAATAAAACCCACAACGACACTAACGGACTCTTTTTCTCTCCACCGCCCTCACCGCCATCACCCGCTAACGCAACCGCTAAAGCGAGCAAAATCCACGCAGCTACATCGTTGAAAGCGGCAGCAGCCATCGCGGTTTCTCCGATCTGAGTCGTTAAAAGCTTGAGCTCTGCTAAAATACGCGCGAGTACTGGAAAAGCTGTGATCGAGAGTGCGACTCCCATAAAAACGAGAAACTCGGCGTATCCTGGTCTATCCGCGGCGGTGTAGAGAGTGTTACGGATCACAAACGCGACTCCGACGCCGGCGATAAACGGTAGAGTGATTCCAGCGACTGCGATTCCGAAAGCGCGTTTGCCGCTTCGTCGGATCGATGATAAATCGAGCTCGAGACCGACGAGGAAGAGGAAGAAGAGAAGTCCTATGCTCGCGACGGATTCGAGTATCGGCATACTCCATTTCGGGAATATACGGTCCATGTACGCCGTGTTTCTACCTAAAGCCGATGGTCCTAACAAAATCCCTCCCTGAAGAAGAAGATGATGGCAAAACGGTAAATTAAGAGGATGATTATGGTAAAATTGTAAATAGCAAGTGTGTGTGTGTGGTTAGAGTGTAATTTTCACGTACGACAATCTCGGCGATGACTTTGGGTTGACGGAGAGGTTTGAATAAGACGGCGAGGGAGCGACTGACGGCGATGATTAGCGCCGTTTGGACTATGAGTAACGGAAAAGCGAAGTTTAAGGGATTGTCGCCTTGCCATGCTCCGTTAGATGAGGTTTTCACAGAGGTTATGTTGAAGGGCATTTTGGGGATTTCAAGGACTCGCTTATCGACGACTCTTTTTTTGTTTTGTTCTCGTTTATATTTGGAACATGTGATATAGTTCAAGTAGGAAGAAGTTTTGTGAAGAAATTTATAGGCAAAAATTATAATTGTATTGGTTTGAACTTTGAAGATTCAAAAAGGTAATTATGTTGTTGCTTGTAATTTTGGTGCATCTTTCTGCATCTCACGTGTGACTTGACCTTGAGTGGAAGTAATAATTTTGAAATAGGTTTTGGTACGGTATTTTAAAAAGGAATCACGAAATTATCATATCAATATTATTTTTTTGGGTAGGATTTATCATATCTATACATTATCTATTAGAAAACTAGTGTTTAAGAAAAACCATTTTTTCTTCTTAAGTTTGTTATTTAGTAGAAATTCAAAACCATTACACTTAGGTTTTTATGAAAATGTAAAATCCAAAAACCTCTGCAAAAATCTCTAGGTTTTTGAATTATTCGTGTCTACAATAGAGTATAAAAAGTAAAAAATCTACTCAAAAACTATTTGTGGTTGCTATAATTCAGTTTCCTCATTTTAATTCAACCAAAACCAAATAACATGAATTTAGTATTGACAAGAGAAAAAAACTCATCTCACAAACGGACATTGCAAACTAATATAGACTGGCTTATCAACGAAGTAGGAATCATGTGAGTCGCACGTGGGACGCGAGAGATGAGCGTTGACAAATGCTGCGTCGGCGTAGATGGGTTTTACAAGTGCAACCAAAGGGACACGTATCTATGACTTCTCATATATTCCAAACCTTTTCCGATATAAGTTGGCAATATTTTCATTAAATAGAGCTGTTGATTTTTCCAAGAAGTGGGCATCTTAATTCTGCTTGGTATTTTTACGACTTTCCTCACTTTTTATCTAGTTAGATTGTTCGAGCAAGTTTGAAATAAAACTGTTGATAATAGTTATGGTTATGGTCATATATGGAAAAAGAGAGTTAGATTGTCGCAAACAACATTTAAAATTGTAGAAATAAAGGATCTGAAGCTAGTGGACTGCCTCAAAGATGCTATAAATTTTGTAATCACACTTTATTTCGACCCATTTCATCGTTAATTTATGTCTGTTTGCCGTAATTGTGTTTCCCACTCATACACCGCCAGCGAATTTGGAATAATCATAAGTTAATTGATGTAACACTTTAATACACAAACAAATAATTAAAGTGTTGAATAATGAATATTTAATTTTGGATGAATTATAATCACACGGTTTTCCATTAGATGTTTTGGAGCGTTAGTTACTTTTGTACATATTATCTTAAGGATCTCTCAAATCCGATTGACGCGATAAAAGTTATAGACTCGAAATGCATATTTTGCGATCTAACCTAATGGTCGAAATTTAGTCCAAGACTATTATGGTTATTTGTCGTAAGGATCATATCCAATGAAAAAACCCTCTTGTTTAAATTTTTTAAGAGAAACGTCTATCATATCACTTTTAAAAGTTTCAGTAGTGGGAGAATTCACGAGAATACTGATTACAAAAGAAAAAATAAAACTGAAAATCACGAGGCGATCGTTTTTTCATTTCCCTTTCTATGAAATAGATTTGGACTTTTCATGAAGGCAAGCAAAAAGTGCCAAACAAGTGGTCCTCCAAATTTTGAGGAACAGTTTAGTTCAAAACATAACAAATTTGGTCACACCATCTTTTTTACATTACAGGTCAATAGAGAAGATTCATGAATCAGGACTATTTATTGGTCGCTCGTTCCAGTCATTCTAATTAGGATTTTTGTACATTAAGTTTCTCAAAGCATATCTTGCATGTTGATCAGATATGGCATAAGAGCTAATGAGCTATGTCAAATACACTTGTTGTAACTATTTGTAGGAAATAAGAATGCTAATTGTAATAATTTTGTTGACCAAAAAAAAAAAAACCTTGGAATAAATCCTCCTAAAAACTTACTAGACAATCTGACATTGACATTGACGAGTCACACGCTCAAATTAGGTCGGCAGATTGAATTTGTCTGTGAAATCATGGTGTTTTAAAGTTGTACTGGAACTTGTGTATATAACAGTCTATAGCAACAATAATTAAAAAAACCAACATTTTGCTCCACATCTTTTATTTGAAAAGCAAAATGTAAATTATTCTTGCTCGACAAAATCAGAAAATGGGTCGATTCGAGAAGAAAGTAATTTGTCAGTGGCTACAGTATATAAGTACAGCGAAATGTCCTAATTAGAGAGTCCATTATATAATTCATTACAAAATTTGACTTCAGTAACAACTGATTGAGAATATGTCAATGTAGGAAAAACGGTCTATTTCCCCACGAGAACTATGACATCATAATAGATAGAGCCCAATCTATGACCACGATCTAAATATCCCCGAGAAAATACTTCTCAACCTATATCTCCTTGAATCGATAGTTCTCATATATTTCTCCATAAAATAATAGTTTTCACCTAATTTACCCACATATTTTGGTTTACAATTTACCAAACAATTTTTAACCACCTAAATACAATACTAAACCAAACTTAAACCAATTACAACAACATAACCGGATTTAAACCCAAACCGAACCAATTAAAGTTCACAAACCAAACAATTACTCACGCATCACCACCACTTACGTCAATGGCGGATCTGCCTTTCATCTCCTCCTCTTCCTCCACCTCCTCACCACCACCATGTGACCTCTCCATCTCCAGGTCATCAACCAATCACAAACTCGATGTATCTCACTCATTCACTCCACCTCAACGCTCTATTCTCTTCCCAATCTCTTTCCACATGCCTCGATACAACCTTAAATCCCTAATTTCAAACACAACTTCATCTCTCCAATGGAGACAGAGTCAAATTCCGGCGACCCCTCTGCAACTCCGGCGAAACCGAGCCGCAACCTCCACTGGCGAACCGAAAGCTATCGAACCTTGTAATCCTCTTTGCCTCTCTCGATCGCGATTTCAAGAGATGCAAAAAAAATTTGATCTCAGCTGGCATTCTCCAGCGATGGCTTCCCCACTGACCCTCTTTGGTAGTCATAGCTTCTCTCAATTATTCTCTCGATTTCTCCACCTAAAAACCGAAACCTTCCTCTCTACTTAGATGGTGAACTCCGATGTGAATCCGACCAGAATCTCTTCAATTTCCGGAGATTTCTTCCGACGAGTCTGAGGAATCCCCTGCCTTTGCGAGATCCCCATTCGTCCAAGAGCAAAAACGTCCTCTCGACTAGACGCTTTCAATTCCTACGCCCAAAACATGAGCCGTGTCTATTCCTCCTTTGCCATTAGCTTTCAAAATTACTCAGCAACATGATACATAATTTTGTTTCAGGTTTGCTTGATTTCATTAATTCGGTTTAATGTTGGTTTTGGGGTGGTTTGATGTCGGTTTAGGTCGTAAACCGAGTAAATCCAAATTTGTGGAGAAATAGATGAAAAGTATCTATTCGAGGAGATATAGATTGAGAAGTATTTTCTCGGGGATATTTAGATCGTGGTCATAGATTGGGCTCTATCTATTATGATGTCATAGTTCTCGTGGGGAAATAGACCGTTTTTCCGTTAATGTACACTAATTTATTGACATTGATGTAACTGACTATTTTTATTGGGCCATTAATTTTTTAGCCCAAAAGGCCTTACTGTAACTTAATTATGAGCCCATAAACGACATTTCATAAATACTGGAATGATGACGTAATAATTTATAGGATCTGATAAATCACGTTACGCTTATGATTAATAAACTCCGATGCTATTAAATTTTTGAGCTAGATAAATTTTCTAATTCATTCATCATTAAAATGCGAAATTACAAATCTGAAATCCCTAAAAATCGAAGATTATACAAAATCCGAAATTGAAATCATAACACGATTTAGCCGCCGAATCCATACAGAGTTCGTCCTTGTCTCTTGAGAGCGTAAACGACGTCCATCGCCGTAACTGTTTTCCGGCGAGCGTGCTCCGTGTAAGTAACGGCGTCACGAATCACGTTCTCGAGAAAGATCTTGAGAACGCCGCGAGTCTCTTCATAGATCAAACCACTGATACGTTTCACACCGCCTCTTCTCGCCAATCGACGAATCGCAGGTTTGGTAATCCCTTGGATGTTGTCTCGGAGAACTTTCCGATGTCTCTTGGCTCCTCCCTTTCCCAATCCTTTTCCTCCCTTTCCTCGGCCTGACATTATCTCGAGAAAATCAAATTCAAACTTAGAAAAATAGTAAAAAGATTCTTTGATTTAGCCAAATGGTGTTTGTTTGATTGAAATGAAAAATGAGATTATTATATAGGATTAGACGACGGGAAAAGGAGGAGTGATTGTGTTTTTACAAAAGTTTAGGAAGTTGTGAGTCGTTGGATCTGATTTTATCGACGGTTGTTATCATCTATCCGCGTGATTACAGTCTAATGATTTTGAGCCGTTGGATCTGTGTACTATCCGCGTCATTATGGATGATGACATTTGAGCCGTTGATACGCAATTGGTAAGACTCTTTTAGTTACTCTGGGATAGTTATGTTTTTTATGTGTGATAAGATTTACTGTACATTTGATTAAGGAGTACACTATTTTAGTTTTGTTCTTCATTGATATTAGTTTAGTTCAGTTGTGTCTTGTGTGCGTAAATAGGAAGGATTAAGAACCTTAATGAATCTACCTCTTATTGAATGAATGATCTTTTCAACATTTTATTGAATGAATGATCTTTTCTAACTTTTATTGAATGAAGATGGTAACCAAGTGGAATTTCTAACCAGATCAATTGGGGATCCTTGGTATTGCAAGGCAGCTTGATTTTCAGTATTTCAATATATTTAGAGGCACAAGAAAGATGATTGATTAAAAGAAGCAAATAGTTTAAACGCAGAGTCACCGGTCTGTGACAAAACACTCTTTAAATCCGATATTCTAACAAAACATAATACGAGAAGCTTAGGAATTATCATGATTTTGCAACAAGAAACCAAAACTCTTGAAGAGCGATCCCAAACTTAAGATGATGCTCACTTCTTCTTCTCCGTTGCAGCACCACCACCAGACCTGCGTGTAAGTAAACAAGAGTCCCAAAAGTCAGCAATTACTATAAAAGAATTGGTTTTTGGATTAAGAAAAACAAAACCAACAATAAGCTTGTTCTATTGTTTAGCTGAGACAAGACTTAGTTACGTATTCAAAACGAAACTTTTTCAATTCAGTGATCGTTTCACTTCCTAATCTTTATATACTCAAAAGCCTAAGCATCTAACCAATTCATTACGTTAGGTTGTAATTCCTCGTACGAGACTCAAGGTCAAGAAATATGAGCAAGAAACGAAATAGCATTTTCCGGGTTTACCTCATTTTGCGGAGAGTACTGGACATCTCCTCTCTCTTCCTCTTAGCTCTCTTGTGGGTTCCCAACTTTCTCTTAGCAACCTTAAGAGCACGTTTGTCTTTACCAACCTTCAAAAGCTCAGTGATTCTCTTCTCATAGGGAGCCATACCAGCAACTTCCTTTATCAAGTTTCTGATAAAGATTGTCCTCTTGCTTGTTTTCTGATCAAATCAAGAAACACTACCACAATCAGATCCATAAACAAACAAAGCAAGAAGAATGCCACATAAATCATAACGAAATATCAAGATAACGCTATCGAATCATGTGATAACCAGTATCAGAGACAGAAATGAAGCTCAAAGTATGGATTACAAGAAGAACGTTACTAAACACATAGACAATAAATGCATCATATTGCAAGAAACAAAATGGTCTAATGAACTACACATTCACAAAGGTGAAGCATTTGTCACACCTACACTATCAAAGAGATAGATCACACTATCTGCACAAACTATAGGAATCTAACATAGACTAGAAACTACTAAAATTGATGGTCCAATACAATGTTAACGAAAGGCAAAAGAGAAACATACTCCTTTGCGAGAACGAGGACGAGGAGCTAATTCGCGTCTGGTGACAACATGTCCTTTGTTCAACCCAACGAATAAACCAGTCTTCACTTGCGGAGTTGTCATCTTCTGCAAATTTCACAGACACCAAAAAAAAAAAAAAAACTTTTATTCAGTACAAAATTAATGTTTACAAGAAACGAATTCGGAGAAAATCAAGAGATGAAGAGAGTTGAATACCTTGTCTTTGGTTCGAGCTCCTCCGGTGGTTCAGACGGAAGAAAGACGACGATTGAAAATTGCATTTTGTATATATACCAGAGACTAAGAAAAACCCTAGCCCTCACACAAACATTTTGGGCCTTTCTTGGGCCTTATAAATTTTGGGTCAGTTTTGACAAAATTGGGCTAGCTGCTTTGCTAACGTGATTAATTATTTACCATTTACCAAAAGCCTTGGGAGAAAAAAAAAAAAACAAAGAAGAGGGCAAAAACGTAATTTCGATAAGGAATTGAATCGGAAAACGAGGTGAGCCGAATTCGAAGCCTTTGGACCCGTTTTCATACTTTTTTACTTGCCATTCGTTTTTTGTTGTTGTTCATTGGTCTCAATTTGATTAATTCTTTCTTAGATTTCTCCTTCCGTAGAACCCAACATTTTCTTCAGTCTGAGATTCCTCCTGCCGCGAGAACGATTTTACTCTATTTTTTCCCGGTAATTTAAGAGCATAATCTGTGCTTTTTCCAATCCGGATTTCGTTATTTTGATTGACAATTGTCAGTTTCATTATCTCTTCTGTGAAATTTTGCTTTTTTTCCAATCTGTAATTTTATCATTGCATTGCCCTGCTTATTTACCTCAATTATCCAATTTTGTTGATCTTGTTTAAATATTATTTGCTTTTTTCACAGATGTTCAGCTGTAATATTATAATGTATTGAATTGATAACGTGATTCTGGATCTGGAATATTTATGTGTCACATTCTTCTTAGGATTTGATTTTGTCTCTCTAGGATATTAATATTCTTGACTCCCTTGAAAATGAATCTGTTTATTATAATGTTTTTGTTTTGATATATTCCTTACTGGCATTTTTTTAGCATAGGTATGAAACATAGCATTGATTGATTTGCGTTTTTAAATTGTTCGTGTTTATGCCAAATTTGTCTTATGTTTTTTTTTTTTTGTTTGTTTGCAGAAAGTAGAAAATGGCTGATGGTGAAGACATTCAACCCCTTGTCTGTGACAATGGAACTGGAATGGTTAAGGTATTTCTAATTATGAAGAATCATTTTTATTTTCTCAAACTGGGATTAAAAATTTAATCTTTGGGGATCAATCTGTTTCCAAATCTTAAACTTAGCCCACGTATCTGTTTAACTCCTTAGATGATAAGAGCATTGCTGAACCATAGAAAATTTCAATGTTTTTATCCTATGAACAATGTAGTTAAGGTGGTTATGTTCTGTGTTTGACTTAGGCTGGTTTTGCTGGGGATGATGCACCGAGGGCTGTGTTTCCAAGTATTGTTGGCCGTCCTCGCCACACTGGAGTGATGGTTGGAATGGGACAGAAGGATGCATATGTTGGCGATGAAGCTCAATCCAAGCGTGGTATTCTAACCCTTAAATACCCAATTGAGCACGGTATTGTCAACAATTGGGATGATATGGAAAAAATCTGGCACCATACTTTCTACAATGAGCTCCGTGTTGCTCCCGAGGAGCATCCCATTCTACTCACTGAAGCACCTCTTAACCCAAAGGCTAACCGTGAGAAGATGACTCAGATCATGTTTGAAACCTTTAATGCTCCTGCCATGTATGTCGCCATTCAAGCTGTCCTGTCACTTTATGCTAGTGGCCGTACTACGGGTAAGTCCACAACTTGATAGGCCTTTATCCTGCAGATTCAAGACCATGTCTTTAATATTGTTGATTTATGATGTAGGTATTGTGCTCGACTCTGGAGATGGTGTGAGTCACACGGTCCCTATCTATGAGGGTTACGCTCTTCCGCATGCCATCCTACGTCTTGATCTTGCAGGTCGTGACCTGACAGATGCTCTGATGAAGATCCTCACTGAGCGTGGTTACTCTTTCACCACAACAGCTGAGCGTGAAATTGTCAGAGACATCAAGGAGAAGCTTTGCTACATTGCCCTTGACTACGAGCAGGAGCTTGAGACAGCTAAAACCAGCTCTGCTGTAGAGAAGAACTATGAGTTACCTGATGGGCAAGTGATCACCATTGGATCTGAGCGTTTCCGTTGCCCAGAGGTTCTTTACCAGCCATCTATGATCGGTATGGAAAATGCTGGTATCCATGAAACCACCTACAACTCCATAATGAAATGTGATGTTGACATCAGAAAGGACTTGTATGGTAACATTGTGCTCAGTGGTGGAACAACTATGTTCCCTGGAATTGCTGACAGAATGAGCAAAGAGATCACTGCTTTGGCACCAAGCAGCATGAAGATCAAAGTTGTTGCACCGCCCGAGAGGAAATACTCTGTCTGGATTGGAGGATCCATCTTGGCCTCCCTCAGTACCTTCCAGCAGGTAACTAATGAATCAATTTCCTTTCCCTAAACCATATAAGTCTAGTCTGCAGCTGTGACTGATCAGTCTTCCGTTCCTAAATTTTGTAGATGTGGATCGCAAAGGCAGAATATGATGAGTCAGGTCCGTCGATTGTTCACCGGAAATGCTTTTAAGTTTGAGGTTAAGTCTGCTTCTGGAGAAGCCTTGGGGGTTTTCCAATTTATCCTTACTGGGTTTTTATCTTCGTTCTCTGCTGTTCTTTGTTTTTGTTCTTCAATATTTTCAGATTCTGGCCTAAGACATATTGAAGAACTTACATTTATCTGTTTGTAGTTGTGGTTAAAAATGTTGTCTTGTTCCTTTTATTTCTGTTGGATAACACAACTGTGTTTGAGTGAATAAGAACACCTAATTTTCCTAAGTTTAGAAGGCTTATTGGATAATCTTCTTAATATACTCTAGCTCTAATCATGATCTGTTGTTATTTCATTGTTAATTATTACAGTAATGAGTTATTTTGTTACAAAAGAAGACAAATTTCATCAGTGTTCATAAATCAACAGGGCTACTGAAACGGTAGTTCATCGACCTAGTCGTGGTCATCATCGATTCATCATTATAGTATAACTTGATCGAAAATTTTGCAAATCACGTCATCAAGCTTATCATATTGTTAAATGATTAGAGAAACCACACCTACATTTCCCCCTACATAATTTACAGAGTATTACATCTATAAAGCACGAATGAAACACAGCTGGCAGTTTTTGTTCTTGGGACTAAAGTCGGAGCACACAGATTCTTACAAAGGAAAGGCGTGTGAGCAAAAACTCTGTCAACATATATTTATGTATATTCCATTGGTGGCGTCATGTGATCCTGGTTTGAGGATCAGACCAATCTATCTTAGCGTGTCAATGTTGTTGCAAAACCTTCAAAAGCTCATATCTGAAAAAGCTTCGAAATGAGCTTTACAATGGAAGAGCTGGGCGTTGTCGGACAACATTCAACACGCCCCTTGCAGTTGCCTTTTACCATGAACAAGAGACAGTTAGAAGCTCCCATTGAGAAAAAAAAAAATTCTGATTGAAATCATTACCTCGTAAAAGGAATTGAAATTTAGGCGTAAAAGAAAACGTCTCAAGAACGGGGCTCTCTGGCTCCCGGCGAGTTTGCTGCTTCTCAGTATGGTGTACAAGGAATTCGACTTCTTGTTGAATTCCTTAGAACCGCAAGAAAGAAAAATTATGAGACACCATTTCACCTATGTATGAGTGTTACAGTGAAAAGATAATGCACCTCAGCTATGTTTTCAAGTTCCGAAGTGTTTGGATTGCTTTCTTGACTCTCAATGTTCCAGCAGAACTGGAGACAGAGTTTCATGATGCTATCGAGTATCCTTGAGACGGAACCAATGTCGAGGAAAGATTGTGAGATAAGAGCGGAGAGATACCTGCATTTGTAAAGTAAAGTAGGTAAGTAGAGGTGCAGGCATAAAAAACCAAACCAAAAAATTACTGAAAAGATTTCGGTTCAGACTTGTTTCACAATATAGCGAAAATCGAATCGAGAACCAAACCAAAAGATTAAATGCCCAGGCCAAGTAAGTAGCATGAAGACTCTTGAAAGAGAACAACAAGCACTGGATATACTTACTCTTGATGGAAGCCAACGAGTTCAGTGAAATCTTGAGAATCGTGGATGTGAGTTTGCAACACCTTCCATTGAGATTCTATCACGTCAACCTTAAGACAAAGAGAGAATCAAACCATAAGACGTTTTTTGTTTTACAAACTGACTTGTGACCAACTTTGAAATTCATATGAGACGTCGTAGGTTTCTTTACCTGAATGTAAAACTGAAGATTCCTTATCAGAAATGCCATGTGCTCTCTAACACGCCACATGGGCCGTATTCCTTGTCTTCTTTGTTGAGATGTTGATCCGTTTATACCATCTTTCCGATGTTGAGCAGATTCTATATGATCTTGATGCATTACAGAAGCCCATGATTTCTCCAATTCCATCTGAGTTCTCTTTAGCCGTATCAAATATTGAAACACCTTGAGATACCTAGCACAAGTTTGTAGCTCTCAGACAAAGCATCAAATATTGTAAGATCCAGCAAACAGCCGACTAAAAAGTTCATAGTAAAATCGATGCAAAAACTTTGAAAGTGAGAAAAATTGGAAGAAAAGGAGGATATAAGCAATGCCCAAGGATTATTACTTAGAAAGCACTTCTTGAGTGAAAAACAGTTGCATGGGCCAATCAACAGAATACTCCAGAGCAATAGCGTCCCAGCCATCCACAGAGGTGTCTGATGTAAGATTTGCCTTCCCGGCGAGAGATATTTTAGATCTCGCCATGTCAGCTTGAGAAGATCTGACTGTGACTCCAAATGACGGCATCCTGGTGAGAATAGCAGTTAAACAGCCTAATTAAGGAACAGTTAACTAAATCCATTAATACAAAGTCGTTAAAAAAGAATTTGATGTGTTACTAACCGTAGGGATACCCTAGAGAAATACTTATCTTCCTCCGCAATGGTTTTTGTTGCAGCCTGTGTGTTCCCAAAGAGAGAACATTACAAAAACAATTTGACCTGAACAGAACTTTTTATCATGAAATTGTTTTAAGTTGTAACCACATACCAACTGAAACGGTACCATAAGATCAGATTCTCCAGTTGACTGGCGAGGTGGCAAACGCATCAACTGACGACTCTCCTCCAGAAAGCACTGAAATCAGAAAGTCTATGAGATGTGAAATTACATATCCACAGATCTTTTACAGAGACTAGTGCAAGAAAAGGAGGACATGACCGTGTGTGACATTAATCACCCTTATTTTTCATTTAAGAGCCTCAACAGATAATTAATGTGGTTTACCTGAAAGAAATCTCCTTTTTCTAAGAGGAAATAATCTTTCAGAGCTTTAAGATGACCACTGAGATCAGCACGCACAACGACAAGCTGTAGAAAAGAAGGTAATGTGACCCAAGATAAAGAAATCCAACAGATTCAAAGCTCAAAAGTTTTCAAGTGAAAACCTGCCAAAGATGACTGGCTGCTATTGCTCGAACAGAATCAACAGTACACTCGAATGATCTCTTGTGAAACTCAGATGATTCCTGCACGTAGACATTTAAATCGAAGCATACAATCTGAACTCTAACGTGATCTTAGGAGAAAGGCATATACTATCTCTATGTATGAGCAAATAGATCACATGTTGCATGACCGAAAGCAACTCAGTTATCAAGATTGTTACAGTTTCTAATAAAAACATAATATGCAGTGAATAAGTCTCCCAACAAGTACCTTTAATTCTTTGAGCATAGCTTCAATCTTGTCTGCCTCAGATTGTGGAAGTAACTCTGCCCCTGTAAGATCTGCATCTAACTCAGTTTCCGTTTCAGGGAAATCACTATGCATAAATCCCTGAATTCTCTGGGAGCCACGCATTGTTTGCTGAAAACTTTTGTCCTTCTGGAACTGGAAAGCAGGACTGGGATTTCGCAAAACTCTTATGGCTTTCCCCGCAAAAAGAATTGATTCACCAAGACGCATAGAAATATAATCAGGTAACATATCCTGCAATATAAGTACAGAAACATCAATAATATAGTAATAGTACCTAAATCAAAATTGAAAGTGGCATGGAAAATACCAAAGAAATGTGAAATCCAGAGTGCCAATCAGTTAAAGATGTCTCATGAACTGAGGTACGAGCCAACTTTTCAGATATCTCTTCCTGAGATGAGCGATGATCTAAATCCCCATCTTCCTGCCTACAAGCAAATCAGAAACGAATTGTACACTCTTTGGAGAAGAACAAACAGAAACCAAAGTGCAGCTACAGAGGACGGCAAGCCATTATGTATCAGCACAAGTATATAGTAGCTACCTAACCGGTATAATAGGAGACTTCATAAGGACCACTAATGACAACATTAAGCAAAACGAGATGGCACTCGACAAATCTCAAAATAAAAATGACAAAAACGACGTAGATTTAGAACTACCTCTTGATGAAAAATTCTCCATGAGGATCCTGGAGAATCCCATAAACCATCCAAGCCGCAAGCTGATTATACATGACCTGATGTCCATGCCAAAGAAGCCTGCACATGGAAATGGGAATAAGCATGATACTAAAACTTTGACAAGTGGTGACGCTAGACTAAAGATAATATCAGTTTAATGTAAATAGAGCCAGTGAGGAACAAAAGCCAGTGAATACCTTTGGAGACAAGTCCTCAATTCAGGCACACCACAATGACACCTTTTATTCAATACATTCAGAAGCTGCCCTCCACGAATATCATCACGCTCAATCTCAAGAATTACCTCATAGAGGGGCGGAAAAAGAACGAAAAACTAGAAAGAAAACAAAGACAGATAAAATGGCATTGGATTATCAATAAACACAAACTCATTTGGCAATGCTAATCTCAATCATCAAGTGATCAATGTGTTGGTACTGGACTAGAAAATGCACCTTATTGAGCCCCTGTGTAACCGTAGCCAGAATAGGCGTAGTCTCCGCCAATAGCTTCTGTTCAATGTGAAGAACCGCAGATCTATAGACCGACAGAATCTCCCCAATTCCATTAGCAATGGCTCTACGGTACACGCTAGGCTTCTTCTCTCTACCCTGCTTCGACAATTCATCAGCCCGTTCCAACGGATGCACACCGGTTACAGACCTAATCCAGCTCAGATTGCGAGACTTCTTCGCAAAACGGTCGAGCTCTCGATAGTAGAACCCTAGCTTGATCAACCTCTCGATCAAGTCCCTGCAAGGAAGCGCATCAGAATCACTAGAAATCAAAATCAGCACCCAATTTACCAGATCAGCTCGAGCAGAGACTAAACCTTTCGCTGGGTTCGATGAAGGAGATGTCAGGAGCGAGTTTGAAGGTACATTCATCAGAGAGAGGTGAATCGGAGTTGAAAGCGAGGCCTAGGGTTTTCCGTTGCTCTCGCTCGTCGACGATGAGATCGCCGGTGAAGCCTAAGAGAGCTAGAAGAAGCTCGTGCAACATTGCGTTTTGGGGAAAATTCACGAAACTGCTAAAAAATTTAAATCAAAATGCGGCGGTTACATTCGCCGGACTTGTTTGGTTTACCGGAGAGGTACAGTGGCAAGTGATGTAATTTCACTAGACAGCAAAGGTGTTTTGGTACCTTTATCCCGGTTTGTAGCTTCTATCTAGTATTTCCAATCTAACATCAAATTCAATCTGGTTTAACCGAACCAAAAACAACCGTAGTTCAAACTCAAATCGATTTAAATTAAAGAGTTTTGTGAAAAGATAAAAAACACGCAGTTAATCATACGAAGTTGATAAAAAAATATTATGCGAAGTTAAAATTAATACGCAATGTAACCCTTTTTCGTTACTGTCAAGTTTGTAAAATCGTGATGAAAACTGAAAATGTTTACAAATATACGTATAAAGGTTATATTGCACATTATTTTTGATTTTGTAGGATTAATCTGCATTTTCTAGAGGTAAATAGTAAAATTGTAAGGAGCTAGATTTTTTTTGCACAAAACAAATATAAATCTATATATATATATATATATATATTTATATGCAGCAAATATATTTTTCTAGTAAACATACTTCTATATATATAAATTATACATATATATAAACCTGCATACGAGTGTACTACGTACAAAAACATGGAAATTCGTTGATGGTGTACTACTGTACTAGTAAAAGAGTTATGTCCCGATGTTAAACTGGTGAACCACGGAGACCATCTATAAGAGGGGAAAAGAGATTTGGGGTCGAGAATATGACTACGGGTACAAGGAGCAAAACCTATTCAGCGTGCATGGGTCTCTTTCGATAACACTCTCAAGATGCTCTGTTAACTTATTCAGCAAGTTACTGGTTTTGTGTGAAAAATATATTCTTCTTTGTTGGACATGGGCCTTGCCCCATATATGTTAGGAGGCCCAAAACAAATGTCCACAAGCTTATAACGGGCCCTGGTCACTATAAAGAGCCCACTAAGCCTGGAGGGGCAAAACCGTCATTTACAGAGGAGACAGAAGGAATTTAGGGTTCCTGTTCCCTATAAATAGCCAAAATCACTATTGGGAACGGGATCCGATCCAGAGGTTATTAACTAGCAGATAAGAAGAATCGTTGCCTAGCCCGAAATCGTTGCCTAGCCCGACTTCGTCGCCTAGCCCGAGTTTCGCCGCTTCGCTCGTTTTCGTATTCTGTCTTTCTGTTTCGTACGTTAAGTGTTCGGCTCGGCGGATAGTCTATAACCGCCGCGGCGAAACTTGCATTTTGTAATCTCTTGATCGCTTATATCGTTAATAAAAGGACTAGCTCCGTTCACCCCCCAAAATCTCGTATATTATTATTGTTGCAACCTAGGTACAAACAATTGGCGCCCACCGTGGGGCTAGTTCGAAGCTATCCTTTTTTGACGAGACAATGAACACCGAGTCTCAAACGAACCGCGATGACATGACGGACACCTCGAGCGACAGAGGAACTGACACTGGCGCGCCAACAGCGCCCGACGCGCCGGGGCTACCTCCGCTGAACCCAGTAGCTGCCCGTTCCGAGCCAGATCCCTCGCGCCGCCTCTTGTCCACACCTAACACAGGGATGGAGTCTGATGCTGCTCACGCCGTCCCGGCTCCTGGCGCACCTACCGCACTCGCCGCAGCAGCCGCAGCTGGAGCAGCCGCCGCAGCAGGAGCAACCGAAGGCACCGCACCAGGACGTGCCCGAGCCGCGCACCAAGGCACCCACATGGACGATCTCGTTCAGACCATTCTGGATAGGCTCGACAACCAAGACGCGCGGACCACAGAACGGATCGACGCCCTCGTAGCCGCACAAGTCTCTTCCCAGAGCCAGATCGAACGACTACGACGCCGAAGACGTACTTCCCAACCCCACGAAAACCAGGAAGAGCTGCAGTCCCCACGAACCCCGGTAGCCGAACGTATAGAGATTCGACGACGCGGCCCAGCATCTATCATCGTCGGATCCATCGACGAACATCCCCGTCAGAATCTGCCGCACGGCGAAAACATGCAGAGCGCCCAGAATCTGCCGCACGGCCACATCATGCAGAGCGCCCAGAATCTGCCGCACGGCGAAAACATGCAGAGCGCCCAGAATCTGCCGCACGGCCACATCATGCAGAGCGCCCAGAATCTGCCGCACGGCCACATCATGCAGAGCGCCCAGAATCTGCCGCACAGCCACATCATGCAGAGCGCCCAGAATTTGCCGCACGGCCACATCATGCCGAGCTCCCATCATCTGCAGCACGGTCACCATCTACATAGCGGCCGTCATCCTCCAGCTGGGCCTGATCTGCCGAGTGGGCACAACCTACCCAGCAACCAAATCATGGATTCTGGACGACTCTTGCCTGGCCGCCACATTGACGACAACCGTACTCACGATCAGGAGCTTACACGGCTGAACGCCTTAATAAAAGACATGTCCTCAAAAATGCATCGGGCCACTACCGCGGCGCCGGAACTAGAGAAGGTTTTGGAAGAAACACAACGCTCGCCGTTCACAGCGCGCCTCTCGGCTGTCCATGTTCGTTATGTTAACAAAGTTAAACTGGTCCCATACAATGGCCTCACCGACCCAAAAATCTTCCTCAAATCGATGTGCATCGCCATCAATCGCGCGCATTTCACCGCCGAAGAAAGCGACGCAGGGAGTTGCCAATTGTTCGTGGAAAATCTGACAGGGGACGCGCTAAATTGGTTCTCGCGACTCGAAGTCAACTCAATCGATAGCTATCGCGAACTAACGGCCGTTTTCCTACAACACCACTCGGTGTACATGATCAAGGAAGCCACGAACGCCGATCTGTGGACCATGTTTCAGAAAGAGGGCGAACCGCTTAGAACATTTATTGAGAGGTTCAAGAAGGTTGTGTCTAACATAGCCATTACCGACGATGCGGCAATCGGCGCCCTTCGAAATGCATTATTGTTTGGGTCACGATTCAGGGAAGATCTTATTATCGCTCGGCCCTCCACACTGGACGATGCTCTGCACCGAGCCAACCGTTATATCGAGATCGAAGAAGAGAAGGCCGCAATGGTGGACCGCCAACCAAAAGCATCTAACTCGAAGGACAAAGCTCGCGACGAACACTATGAACCTCGACAGCATTATGATCGCGAATATGCGAAGAACGATAAAGGAAAGAAAAACTCGTCATTCGCCATCAACGGCCAGGACCCAAAATCAAACACCCCTTGGAACAAGTATTACCGCGACTCTGACACGAAGCGTTCTTATTGCGAGTTTCATAAATTCGCGGGTCATTCCACCGACGATTGCCGACAACTCCAGCTTTTGCTGCTTTCTAAGTTTAAAAACGGTAGCATAGAAGTCGAGCACGAGCGACGCCGTACGACCTCGCACAAGGACAATGCCTACGGAGGCGACGACGCTGATCAGCACAAACGTGACGATAGCGAGCGCAATGAAGAACCCAATCAATTAGAGCAGGCACGCAGAGCCGTCCAAACGCTGCCTGGCCCACCTAAGAGGAATCACGACGCGCCACGGCAGGACGAAGCACCTGTCCCTCGGCGGAAAATTCACATGATAATGGGCGGCCTAACAGCTTGTCGGGACTCAGTCCGTTCAATCAAAAATTATCGACGCCAAGCAGAGGTGCAGCGCGATTGGATTGCCAGCAGCACGCCAGCCTTTGCCAATACCGACCCGATCACATTCACTGAAGCCGACGCATCCGGCCTCACAGGGCCGCATAACGATCCATTAGTTGTCGAATTAATAATTGGGGAAAGTGCTGTCACCAAGGTGCTTATTGACACAGGCAGCTCAGTCAATGTTATTTTCAAAGATGTCTTAATACAAATGGAGGTGGATCTACGCACGGCTGAACAAGACATTCAACCACTAACTGGATTTGACGGAGACACGGTGATGACGGTTGGAACCATTATGCTTCCCATTTACGTTGGTGGTACGATGAATTGCTTCAACTTTGCTATCGTCGACAAACCTATCGTCTACAACGTTATCCTCGGAACACCCTGGCTGCACAAAATGAGGGCCGTCGCCTCGACTTACCATCAATGTGTTAAATTTCCGACCATGCGTGGCATCCACACGTTATACGGCGATCCGTCAGTTGCGCGTACTTGTTTTCTCGTCGAGAAACGGCTTCGAAACGCCAAGGTACTCGTCATTGCCGAGCCTAGCCATCCGCGAGATGCACGACAAGCCCCTCATACAGAATCCGTCATTCAGGTTAACATCGATATGACCGACCCTGCCCGTTGTGTCGGCGTTGGCGCCGATCTTCCGCTAGTCTTGAAAGATGAACTCGTGGAGTTCTTACGCCAGAATGCTACGACCTTTGCTTGGACAATCGACGATATGCCTGGAATCGATCCCAACGTAACCTGCCATGAACTCAATGTCGATCCGACTTTTAAGCCGATAAAGCAGAAACGAAGGAAGCTAGGTCATGATCGTACTGCCGCAGTAAATGAAGAGGTAGCAAAACTGCTCGCCGCCGGGTCTATAGTCGAAGTCCGTTATCCCGATTGGTTGAGCAATCCTGTGGTCGTCAAGAAGAAGAACGGCAAATGGCGTGTCTGCGTCGATTTCACCGATCTTAATAAAGCATGCCCGAAGGATAGCTTTCCTCTCCCGCGAATAGATCAGGTCGTCGAGGCCACAGCTGGCAACGAATTGCTCTCATTCATGGATGCGTTTTCTGGTTACAATCAAATCCTTATGCATAAAAATGACCGGGAGAAAACAGCATTCATTACCGAACGAGGAACCTTCTGCTACAAAGTCATGCCATTCGGGTTGAAGAACGCCGGAGCAACGTATCAACGACTAGTTAATCGAATGTTCGAAAAGCAGCTCGGCCGAACGATGGAAGTCTACATCGACGACATGCTCGTCAAATCAATCCAGGCCGCCGAACACGTCAATCATTTGAAGCAGTGTTTTGAAGTACTCAACAAGTACAACATGAAGCTGAATCCTGCCAAGTGCACATTCGGCGTAAAGTCAGGAGAATTCCTGGGATATCTCGTCACCCAGCGCGGCATAGAAGCTAATCCGAAACA